GAAAGGCAGTTGTTAATAAGTAAGAAAGAAAAAGTAGCGAGGGAAAACAACATGCCATCTTCTGGCTAATAACATATTGAAAGTTTGTAAGCACCTTTTTTTTAAAACTGTGTAAAGGCAGGATTATTGTTTAAATATTTTCATGTACCACTATTCAGCAAAATAAATGTAACTGAGAAAAGAGGCACTGGAAAAAAATAATACTCCAGCTCTCAAGAAATGAATAGTGCTTTACACAACTTAGACTAGGTGTGGCAATATCTTACCTTGCAATGAACGGAGTGATGAAAAAGCAAATGAGATTAAAGTAAATATTACAAGTGCTGGTTATGCAGCAAATCACAAATATTTAAACACCTAGCAACTAACTTAGCAAGAGGGTGTCATGAAATTATGAGTTCTGACGACTTTATCTCTAGACACTATTTGAAAAAGAGAGGGCATATTGTACAGATAATAGACTCTGAACATATTATTGCACATATTGTGGAAAAGATGATTGCACAGAAATGAAGTATAGCAGCCTCAGAATAAAATGTGGTTTTATCTAGACATTAAAATAATACACTCTATTTCCTGAAGATTTAAATGTGTTGCATACTAATTAAAAACAAAACTATGATTTTGCTTTTGTTCAAAAATGTTTTGTTTCACATGTGAGCATTTTTAAACAATGAGCACCAGAGAATGAAAATGAAGCATGTCTTGCCGCAATCAAAAGAGCCTTGAATTTTTAAAAGAAAAAATAGTCTTAAGAAAATACTTATTAATTATGTAGAAGACTTCACTTCCAGTATCATTTCTTTATGTCACCATCATTCATCATTTTTTGACAGTTTTCTGTCTTTTAAAGCTTACCCCCATATCGCTGATTAATAAAAGTGAGCAATGAAGTATTAGATAATTATTTTTTTCTGAAGAAAGTCCCACATGATAAATATCACAGCGGCAGAAACACTGTGGAATAAGTCACTTGCAAATGCTATTTAATAAGCATTTAGGTCAGAAGGATGCCCAAAACAGCCTCTTAAAGCTTCATGTCACAGCGCGCCTAAAAGAAGCTTAAAAGCTGAATTTTGAAGTGTCAAAAGCTACAAAACCTGCAATGTGGAAATGCAAAATACCAAATCACATATGCACTAGGAAGTATCTGGGGGAGGGGAGCGGGGAAGCCCTTAATGCTCTTGAGCAAGGCAAGAAGAATCAGAGAGTTCCTCTCAGTAACTCTTACATCTGTCACTATAACTGGGTGCTTTAGGAGGTTATATGTCACAGGGGTGATGCTTTTCAAAAGGGCCTTTTGAAAACACTCCATTTATCTGTGCAGATGTCATGCACTTTTACGCTAAGATTAGACTATTTCAGAACTGCAAAACCTAGCTACATTTGACACTAATCAATGCTTTCATGGTAGAAGTTTTGAGTTTTTAAAGCCCTACTTTAACAAGAACTTCTAAATCTACGTTACAGGTATTTCTGTAGTACCAGTATTACATGTTTTAGGTTTTATGTCACAGCTATTACTGCTTCTGTTACAATTAGCAAACACACCATGGAGATAATGTCTGAATTGCAAGACTGAAGAAATAGCTCCCAAATATTTACGTGAAGGCTCTTAGTGGATACACAAAGTGAGCACTTTCTGATTCCTCTCAAAGATGCTAAATCTGGCTGCTCCCATGGCTCTGAAATGACTGAGACTGGGGAAAAAAAAAAACGTTATATATAACGCATATATGAGCATAAAGCTCATGAGCTGGGCTACAGGTACAGGGACAGTATGGTCATCCTGGGAAAAAAATGAGAGAAACAAGAGCATAAACTTGGAGTCCTTCTTTAAAGGGAGGTGTAATAGGGAATATAGGGAGTAAAGGATAGAGAAATATAGCACTGGGAAATGAAGGAATTAGAGTTAAGGAAGTCAGGAGCTGCTGCAACCACCATCTCCAACTCCAATTTTCTTGGTGTAGGACATGATTGTGTGATCATTTAATATTAAACTGATCAGAAAGTAGATAAGTGCCATGTAACCTATTTTTAATATCTAAATTATTCATATCTTACTAGCTCTACATTTATTATAAAGGAGGATCACACTCAGTAAACCTGTCTTGCTAAGTAAGAGCTTTTGAAACTCAGTTTATTATAATAATGAATCATAAAGGCATAATAGGATAGCAAAATCATTTATCACCTTTACTTGTTTGTGTTCAACTTGAGGCAGCCAGCAGAAACTGTGATGCCCCAGTGCAAAACATTGCGCAAACCCATAGTGAGAAAGCCCCTACCCAGAAGATCTTTTTGTCTTAGCAGTCAAGACACCCGAAGACGGAATAAGGAAGAGACTCACAAAAAGTTGCTATGTATGGTATGGCCTCTAGATAAGATGAGAACCCAGATCTCTTGAGATCAGATAAAGTCATATCTGGGAGCCTTATGGCTCCTGTCAGACCTTTAATGAAAACACTAGGGCACAACCAACACACAAATGGTGGTGTTCTCCTTCCAGCCAGAACAACAGTGTGCGCTCATGTAACTTAACATTATGCAAAGAAAGGTGACTTCATACAGCTGTTTTTCTATTAGACAGCTTCTATAACACTTTGGAATACCTGGCCCCATATTCAGCTGCTAAAATAAAGATTTAAGGCCTATTATTCAAGTATTCAGGTGGACAATAAGGGCCTCTTCAAGTACACTGCAAGGTCCTCAAGGTCCTAGAGGTCTGGTTACTGGGGCTCAGGGTCAATGCATGGACTATCCCCTTCCCCTGGGAACCTCTTCTAAGTTGAGCCGTGACCACTCGGCCCATCCCTGAGCTAGGCCACGGCAAAGCCGCACTCCAGCCCTGCCACAAACCTGCCTCTGCTTGACCAGGCAAATTCAGGCTCATGGCCCAGCCTGGCCTGGGCCCATGGCCTCCCCTCCGGGCCACTGAGGGGCTGTGTGGGACCCTGGCTACCATGCCTGGGCTCGGCCTGCTCTCTGGCTCAGGGGCGCAGCGTGGAGCCTTCACAACCCGTGCGGAGCACCAGCCCTCACAGTTGCCTGCCACACACACGGCCCTGCTCAAGATACCAAACACATTGATTCAGCTGACCAGAAAACCACTCACAGGCCAGAAAAAGTGCTACAATACCACTTGTGCTCTCTGTGCACAAAAAAAAGAACAATATTGTTTTATTAATTAGCCTTCTAACATTGTTTTAAACTCAATATAAACAAGTAGAAAAGAGTACGCTGGCAGTGTAAAAAAAAAGTAGTTTCTGAATAAATCATATTCTAGTTCTATGTGAGAAAATGGTAGCTTTGCATGGGTCCAGTCTTTGCTAAATTTAACCATTGCAATGAATCAAAATAGTAGCATTTGGAAAACGAAATAGGAACTAGAAACCATTTCCTTAAGAATTTTCTCAGAAGTTCAAGGAAATCCACTGTAAAAGTATATACACTGCTTTCTCTAATTTGTTGTCTTAAATGAATTTTGGATATGAGTGCCAAACAGGAAGGCGATTCCTCAACACAAATTTCATTTAAAAATGCACTTTCATTTGAGAATTCACTCTCCTAAGTACAAACTAACGAAATTCTTTCCTACTAGCCTTTGAAGGAAATCTAAAATGTCCATTGCATCTTACAGAAAATCTAACTGCAAAATTTAAAAATTATCTCAAAGATGTATGCTTTGTGCTCGCAGTGTGTTCTCAACTACATGCTTCACTCATCATTATAAAACTATATTATAAAACATAATAATGACAAGTTAGTGAACTCTTAGCTTTCAATAAAAGGATTCAGAACCTCTTTTGGCCTAATTTTGCAGAAAAGTATGAAAAGATGTATCCCAATAACACGCACAGTAAATAGCCCTATTTTAAAGCCCAGCTCATGATTTTCTGAGACCTACAGCATGAGTGTGAAATCCTAGTGTTACAACAATATTGTTACAATCTATTTCGCTTTGATATTCTCATGTTTGCAAAATCTGAGTTGCAAATACTGTAAGGCAATATATATATCTTCAAAACGGCTCTTTTTGTTTTAGTTCTCTATGTGCCATGAAAATGCTTTTATTAGTTTCGGCTTCGTAAATTACTAATCGCTGGACTACATTCAAGATGAATGCATCTCTTTAAAATAAATAAAACACACAAAATAATAACAGAAGATTTGGAGATGGCATTTTAATGGGAATTTATATTATTGTAACTAGGAAAAAAAGGAAAAGTATCGATCAGTACTTACCAGAGTACAAGGAAAGGAAGTATGATATGCCACACTATGAGCAAAATGAATGCATTATAGCTACACTTGCTTATTTTTAAGCACATTTAAAAATCAGCTACTAGAAAAAAGCTCTAAGAAATGATCCTAAGACAGTAGACTCACATTAGAGAGATCAAGGCAGCCTAGGCATTTTCAGAAAAAAGTCTCTAGGTAAGTGCTGAACTCCACTTTCTGAAGGACTATGGATAAAAAAAGGAAACATTTACATCTTTTAAAAAGGCTAGGATATTACTACAGAGTTATTGTGGTTGATCAGCTAATATTTTTATTTGAGATCATATTTCTATGGCAAATTATAGCACTTAGACACTGGTGGTTGTTCTTTATCAAAAAAATATGTGCATATTTGTATAATATGTATATATAATCATAGGGCCTGCTCATTAGAGAAAAAAAGCCTTTTAAGAAAACAGGAAAATAATCGTCTAAGAAAAATCCTGAATCCATTCAAAAAATAGAAATACACCTGTAAGATTCTATCAGTTCAAATATTTTCATATTCTTTACCTGAACATGCACCACATATGCTTAACTTTCCTTTAAATGTGCAGACTTAGTGGTATATTCTGCTACATAACAAGCACTTCTCCAAAGAATTCTTCCTTTTGGAAGTGTGACTGTGCACTTCACTTCTTAGGGATTAATAAAACACAGTGATGCATGACATGAATTGCTTATATAGACTTGCAGGAAGAGATGCCAATCACCTTTACCTGAAGTGGGAGACTTGCAACGCTCTAGCTCCAGGGAAACTGGACTGTCACTGAGTTCAGTCAGGCCTGAAAGAATGGAGTTAAAAAGTTAAGTTACAATCTAACAGGGCATGCTTCAACTTCGGTGGTTGGTGGCATTCTGTACTTCAAAGTCGATTTGGAGAAAGGAATGGTGTGAAAGGTAGGGAAATACCTATTTCAGAATACCTGCAGTTATCAGACTGCAACTACAGAAATTTAGATCTGGTTTAAAATCACACTTATTAATTCAGATTTGTGATTGATTCAGATTTGTTTTCTGAATGCCTCTGGATAAGCAAAGACAAAGTGTAGCTAATGAATGTAAAAAAAGGGAAATACAGCTTAAAATCTAAATGCCTGTGATACAAATCAAATCAAACTAGCTCATTCATCCTTGGTCAGACTGATGCATAAACAATTCTGTATTCTTCCAATTGCTGCAGAATGCAGGAAGGAACTCATAAAACAGAAGAAAAAGACATTTCTCGAAAAAGAAGAAAATAAAAAACTGCCTCTACTGCTTTGCATTTGGTTCCTTTTTATGAATTCACATAAGATAACTCACTTTAAAGAGCAAACACTACAATAAAGATGCCTGAGTATAGCATCTGGGGCAAGACACTTCATATACTCTTTATTAATATGTGTGAGGAGTCCACTTCTAGTAGTCTACCATGGAAGACAACAATGTAATCTTAGTTTACGCTGCTTGAAAGGTATGGGCTTGTGTCAGTGATCATACTAAGATATGCTGCATGATGAAGCATGCCCTTTGGCATGCGACATGGGGAAACCTGTGCTTGAGTTATCCTTGGGCTATCCATGAGTTATCCATGAGTTACCATGGGCTGCTGGAGTAGCCTGTTTGAGTTTGAATGCAACCCACAGTCAGATGCACATAATGCACAGATGCACATAATGCACATAATGCAGTACTGATCATGTGTCTACAAACACGCGCACACACAACAGAGTTTAAGTATAAGTACCTGTGAAATCAAATATCCTACTAGGATTTCTTAATATGCTTTAATCAGGTAGCATACCTCTTGCAATGTGGCATATGTTTTAACCTTTATGACTTCTAGACTGTCCATCCCTGAGACCCTACTCACTACAATCTGTGTATACTCTGTTACTTCTGATAACCAATATTACCACTCATTGCAAATTATGCTGCTATAAACTATGTAGGCAATGTACCAAATCACACCACTGTTCTGAAAAAACAGGAGCAACCACAGTGAGAATACCACAAGCTCTTTATGTATGACAACAGTTTTACACCTTAATACTCTAAACATACACTTAATGGTATGATATTTTAAAGTAGGGAATATGTGAACTTCTCTAAGCCACTATCATTTCTAATAGTCACCACCAACAGATTCTTTTTAAAAAGTGCAATAAATCCCCGGATTAAGTGGTTCAATCATCTGCCTTGCATGAAGCAGTTATCTTAATTTAGATTATTATATTTGCCTACACAGACACTTGCAGAATTTACACTAACGTAAGTCTTTCATTTAGTTATATTATTATTGTAACCAGTTCCTCTTGTCATCCATTCAAATCTCCAAAATCTTCTTTAATCTTACTGAATTATCAGACCCAAGGTCGTTCTGTGACAATACTTGTGCAATCAAATAACTGACTGAGTAGGAATAAACATACATTTTATCAACTTTTGAAGTGCCACTTTGGCTTCAGTAAAAAAAACCTTTTGTTTCTTTCACTAGTTAAGAAAGCAAGCTCTCAATCTACTTTCTTTGTACTACTGCTTATTTTCTATAGTCATTGCTTTTTAAAGGAATATGTTTATTAATGCCTCATATTTACATATTTTGGTGCAGCTCAATTTTCTTGGACTCTTTGAGAGACTTCAACAGCTACTGAAGTTATATTTGAATAATACTTTCAATTTTCATTTTGAAATTCTATGGGCCCCAATTGTGTAGCCACAAAAACTATCTGTGAGAAGATACACCCATTGACATTAGAATGAAGCTGGCTTTGATTGGAACAGATTATAAACATATGAAAACCATGCAATGGAAAATATTGCATGGACTTTTTAAAAAGTTTACTGTAATTACAGTAAGATTAAAATTTACAGATTACAGTAAGATTAAATTGTTTGGACTGATAATTTACTAAAAGCACCCAAATCTGTCAAATCTTTGCTAATAAATCTTATAAATATCTGTAACCCCATCTATTTGGTTTTCTCAATTTTCTCTGAATTACCATCCTATGATTGATTTATAGATTTAAGTATAATGCATACTCTGTCAACTATAGCTAGTTGAAAATATGGCTGTTCACTTAAAACTCAGCTGTGATATCTTCTAATCTGTTGCCACATGTAATTTAAAGTGCTAATTACAGATCTACAAGGACTCCTAAGTTACAGTTTTCTGTCTGTTTTTTTCAGAGCTAGGATAGTTTGCTCACATGCTCTCAACTGCTAGGTCTGAAGGAGAAATGAAGACTTCTCAGTGAGAAGTCTGGATTCGGAAAAGTAGTTTCCAATGGATCAACACTCTCTTAACTTGCTGGCTTTTTGGATGCTTCATGAAGACTAATCATGTTCTTGGCTTGTCAACAGATAGTACGAATTCATAATAAGAAATTGACTTTCTTTTGCAAGTCCATTTTCATCTTCTGATTCCAATACTCTCTCTAGCCACAGCAAATTAACTTGTTTTAATATTTCAGTAGATGTTATCCACTGTCAGCTAATAACATATAAAATTGATTTCAGATGAAAAAAAAAATCCGCACTACTTCCTCTCCTTCTAAAATTTCCTCACAAATGTCCAGGCATGAATTTATGACCAAGATGATCTCTAGTTCTTCCTGCAGTAACCTTCTCACTCTTCACTTATCACAGTAAACAGCACCACTGTCTTCCCTTATACTTAAATCCATAACCCTGGTTTCCTCCTTGGAACATCACACTTCTTTGACTCTCAGATTCAGGCTAGATCCAAAATGGACTTTTCTTTTCTTGCTGCAGTCACCTCCAAAATATGGTAAACAATAATCTAAGCACCTAGTTCATTGATAACATCTTCTTTGGCTTTAATTCTTGTAAATCTGATTCTCTCACCAGGCTAATCCTGGTGATATTTTCTTCTTGATATGTTTTTCTAATTGAAACAACCTCCAATATATTTTTTGCATTAAGTTTTTCCATTTTTATTAGATGATCCTCAATATTTCAGACCTCATGCTTACGCTACCAGCGTTTATTTTTGTTCTTGACTTGATAACATCAACTCCACACAATTCACCACAGAACTTCAAAAAAAAAAAAAAGAGTTTATTTTCCCTTCACCATCTGTTATAAGAGGAGATAAAGTCCTATTCAAAGTCTGTAAATCCATCCTCAATCCACCTCTTAAAACTGATCTGTCATATAAGATATATATCAAAGCACAACCTGAGAATGATTTAGCAAATGAAGATTGGGTATAACTAGCTCTTACTAGCCATTTTACATTCTGTTATGAAATTATATTTTTTGTTGTATTGTCTGGTGTGAATTTTATATCATAAGCAGTTTGGGGTCATGGACTGTAACTAATATATTCGTGCAGTACGTACACCTGTATAAATACTAACCTGCAAAAGCAACAACCAAATAATTCCTGTGAAAAAGGGTGAAGCTGCTAAGGACCCTACAAAAGGGTCACACTCATATGCTTCAGTTATTGCATATCCTGAAAGATTTGAGGAACTTTTCAGATTATGGAATTAAAGGTAGAAACCAGATACTGCATTTGCAGATGCAAATAAACTCAATGGCCTTTTTCATTTAGGATGATTGTCTTGCTCTTGCCTTGTCTTAGAATTTATTAACTTTATTTTTTGGGGGAAAAAATATCTATGATTGCAGTCAGTCCTTCAGGTTCTATCTCACAGACTTAGAAATAAAACTATGAAGACTTGTGTAATAAAGTCTAAGGTATTATAAAACAATATATAACTAAATATATAACTGGCCTAGTTATTTTATATATATATATATGCGTGTATATATATATTTATATATGGCCTTTAAATAAACAGTCCATGTTTTATAAAGCACTATGAAATAAAATCATGGAAATTAGTTGCTAAGCAATCAATCCACAGAACAGAAACAGAATTTCTACTGTAAGTGTACAATTTTATTTTCACAAATATATGATTTCATATTTATGCAAAGTAATGGAACAAGCACCACCTCTTTCTGTCTTGCCAACACCAAGTATTTAATTTAAAACTGCCTATCCAATTGTTCTGGGAAAATCACTTTAAAAAGAGATGAATAGGAGGCATCCTAGAGACCTAATTACATATAAGCATTGCAGTTAATTAAGATAGATACAGCTCATCTTTTTAACAGTCATTTTAGCAAAATTAATTATAGCTTTGTTCATTACATTCTGCAGTGATGAATACTAATATTTAAATTGCATATCACTGTAACTTAAAAATTTAAAAATATTAAAAACATTAATTTTCCTCCCTTTGTTGCATTTTTTTACCCCCTTTATATTCTCCATTAAAGATCAGAGCTATGGAATGGTTCCCCTGAGCCAAATAGTCAAGATTAAAATTTAAAATTTCACAGCATGCAGTCCAATGCTTACTCTTTAAAACCACATTGCTCTTCTGAAAATAGGAAAGAACTAATTTATAACTACAACCATGTAGTGCCATTGCAAAACAAGAAATGCTTCATATAAGTAGATGAATGCTGAAACAAATTCAAAAACAATGGAAGATATTGTCATCAAAAATTTAACATTATTGAAAAAAATAATTTCTAAGGCCAAATCTGCCTCACATAAATCAATGGGCATAAGAAGAAAACAGATCTGAAATAGCTGAAATATAGAAATATAGAAAATTATTGAAATCAAGCACAACTGACGTTACAAAATGTAGTAAATTTGCATGCATGCTGAATGTGTTTAAAAAAAACACATTACAAAGCACAAACACACGCGTTGAAGTCAGGCATATTCTGATGGTGATACGGCTATTTGCCTAACCTTTATTAAACTTACTCTGATAGGAAGTACGGATCCGTTTCGTTAAATCTGGATAAAAGTTAGACAGGCCACGCATGCAAAAGTTGTCTTTGGAACATGCCAGTACACCAGCATCAGCAGCAGGCAGAGGAAAGAGAGAAAAAAACAGTCTAAAGTGAAAGGAAGTGATATCATAACCAGCATCTAGAACAGCCAAGGTGAAGAAATTTCAGCAGATGCTTACCTTCAGAAGATACAACAAGAAAAAAATTAAGAAAGTAAAGGATGTGGGATGGATGGTGAGAAAGCAGCTGAGGTTTATTTCAGATGCTTAATATCTATAGCAATCTCAAAATGGGTATTTTCAATAGTCCGTTTTTGCCAGCGGGCTCCAGTCTAGCAGCACTGCATGGCTGGAACGTGGCCTTCAAGGACTGGCCGCGAATGTCTCTGTAGGAGAGCGCTGCTGCGTGGTGCAGCGCTGATACAGCCACCTCGACGTCAGTCACCCTCCACCCTTCGTACAGGGCCCAGCAGCAAACGGCCTGTGGCTGCTCAAGTTATGCTGGGAGCTGCCAAGAGTCTGGCCAGCCCAGACAGAGAAGCTGAAGGGGCTAAACCTGCTTGTCTCTTCCCTCCTCAACTCTGCCAAATTTACATGTTAACAATTGGCACAGAGGAGAACTAACCCTGCCATGATTAAATGCCTATAAAGTGAGATAAACGGTCTTTCAAGAACAGAAAGTTAAGATTGAAGAATTGCGTTTAATTCTCTAAGTTTTACTTTTTTTTTTTTGAGTACAGTCTTATTTCCAGTGAGAAGGTTTCCACTGAATTTATGAAGAAACGGTATTAGATGATTTAGTGTAGAGTCTGACGATGAAAATGCTGATGTTATAAAATCATTATAATCTGCTGCTTTATTAATTTTATAGATAGATTTTAAAAACTGAATATTTTCAAACACATTTTAAAAACTAATTTTAAAACTTCAAAACTATAAGAATAACATTTCATGATTATGTTTTAATTATGGTACGATATGTAGAGCAAAAAGACTTGAAACACATAAGACCTTCCGACTCTTTCTCACACAAGTCATTTTTTTAAGATTAATAAAAATTTATCCCAAAATATATCTGTGCTGATGGATGAGACTTCTAACATGGAGATACAGATATGCTCCTCTTAGTCTCATATTTTATATGATGATACATCTGGATTTAAGTTTTTTGGAGTTTTCACTATTACTTCACTAATAAAATGTCTAATCTGAGCTGCTCTTGCTACCTAAATAACATGTCTCTCGGGTATTATGTTATCCTTTGAACACACCCATTTGTTCAAATTCCAGTGCATGGCTTTTGGCTGAAAACAATTAAGTTTAAATTAAAATATTACCTATTGGTCTGAACTTTGTGAGACTCAAGAGAAAATTACATATAAGTCAGGTGACTGTCAAACCAACAGTGAACAATTGGTTTGCTAATTTACTCATTATAATTTCTTAGAGACTCAGCTAAGGTGATTACTTGCTGACCTCCATCCCAAAAGAATAAACTACATAAAACATTCTGGTTTTGAGAAAGTGTCAGTACCAAAAGCATGTCAGGTTTCTTTTGTCACATTAGAGAACCTTCCATTGGCTGGTCGACAGTCATGCATTTCAAAAGCACTATAAGAAGCCACAGGCAGAAAAAGGAAAGAACATGTCAGGCTCATAACCACAGTATTTTATTTCCTACCTGCAGCAAACTGCTTGCTTTTGCGAGGAGAACGGGGTTGACGCTGGTAAGGATCACTTGAACCATAGAGGTCAAGAGTTCCCATGCTCAGCAACACTGTCTTCTGCATAAAGTCCACTACAGCCAAGCCATTGCAATTCCCAAATGCAACTCTGAGAATAGAAATGTTCCTCAAAGGTATTAATAATATAGAATTAAATGGTGCAAACAAAATAAGTATTATTAATTGTGTGAAATGTTTTATAAAACATCTTCTCCAAGTTTGGTTTTTATAATTTTTATAGACTGATCATTCTGAATTTGTAAGTTTGTATCCTGAAACAGAATACCTGGCATTCCAAAAAGCGGACTATCCACTTTGATTAACATTCTGTGCTACATATATTGGAATAACATCTAAATTCTGCTTTACTGAAGAGTGTCATTCTAATAATGCTATAAATACTATAAGAATGTAAATTATAACAACAAATCTGAACACAGATATTGACATAGTTGTAAATATAAAATACATAGTTTAATATATACATATAAATAAATGCATAAAGCCATTTAGCTAAATATAAACGATATGGAATATGTTTATCTGTACTATAGAGATACGCGAATCTGAGGTATATTAATAAAGCTCCTTTCCAAGTTGTCCAGTTCAGCTATGTTACAGCTTTCTGCTAAATCAATCTGTAACCCTCTGAAACCTTTCACAGACAGCATTTTATGGTGGTCTGAAACATGGGCAAGATCTCTCAACTGCTATGAGATTACCTGAGATCTGCAATGCAACTAATCTCAGTATAAAGACAAAGATGTAGGACCATTTCTTTCCTTTGCTGCCTAGTAATTCCCTTTACAAGTATTTGCCCCGCTCCTTCTGCTTTATTGCATTCTGTGGATTTCCAGCTGGCACAACTTTGTACAAAATGGTCTTCTGGCAAATATGACTGGTGGTGTTCCTGTTTTTTTCCAGGGAAACTTTATAAAAACATCTTTTGTTTGTCTATTAAGTAAAACATGTTTTATAAATTTCTGAAATGGACAAAACTCTAAGTACATTGACTATGAAGTTTATTTTCTAGTGCACTTTACAATCTTCTCAAATAAGCACAAGATATTGCCAAATAAAAGTGTATTTTGAACTCACTTTGAGTGGGAACATATTTCTACTTAAGCAACAGATCAGTGAGGTAGAATCAATGAGGTAGAGTACCATGCTTTTAATACATTCATAGAAGCTCTACTAAAAGCACTGTTAAGTCTAGGATAGAAAACACGATGTAGTGACAATCAGTAGAATTTGAACCACTATTATACATGGTACATTAATTCACTAGATTAGCAAATAAGAAAAAAAAATATTTTAGCCTTTTGCTTTTTCTGTTTGCTATAAGAAAACCTCTTTTGCTTGATGGAAGCAGAGGGAGATTTTTTTTAAAAAAAGCAATATAAAACAACCCCTATTCCAGAACGCTTCTGCAGAAATGCAAAGGTCCTGCTTAAAATTTCCAAAAATTATCTGAAAATATTCAATCTTTTCACCAGATTAATATTATTGGCAAGAAGGACAATTTAGTATCTCATATTACAATCTTCATGACCTACCAGGTCAAGCAATTTTCCCCCCAAACATGGATAATTACATGTTTTTACTTTTTTCCTCTGACTTTAAGGGTCTGCAGAGAACTTTGAATTATTACTGGCGCATACACAGTTTGATGCAATAAAGAATAAACCAAAAAACCTTAATTTTGAGTTACTTACAGTCCATAAGCAGAGTTTACAGCAAGACTGGTTATCTGTTGTGGAGGCTCACCATCCACCCACACCAGCTGAATTACAAGATCTGCTTGGTACCCAGGAGGCATTCGCACAGGTCGCGTCTTAACACTAAGAAGAAAAAGGTACAAAGTTACGGCAGATACACTGGGCAATGAATAACAGTTGCTTTCCTTGAGGAAATATTAGTGAAGTAGTTGTCCTTAAAAAGCTGAGAGTAGAACAAGTATTTATAGTGTATTGTGAATGTGGAGGTCCGTTGAGACTATGCATTGCAATTAGAACATGTACACTGGGGAAGAATTGCAGGTTTTGATTTTCATTTCTACTGTAAGAAGACATCCGAAATCTACAGCAATCTGCAAGATCTACAAATCTATAAGAGAAACACGTCAGGTGAAGAAAAATATTTTTGTGTGATCATTTGGCTTTGATTTTCCTTTTTTATAGCACTTCTTATAATGCGCAATTAAAAGTCAGCATCAATAAATAATCTAAAAGTACTTAAAGTAGTTTCTTCTAAAGCTTTGAAACAGGACGCTACTACATCATTGCAACATACTTGCTCTGAAATAATGCTTTTCATGGCAGCATGAGCACTCTTCAGTGTAATTCCATTCTTCTCCTGGCTCAAATCTCAATCCACCAAAATGGATTCAATCCTGAAAGCGGGATGTATCAGAATAGCAGACCTGTTGATCTTGCATCACTCATGATGCAAGCATTAATTCTGTTTACAGCAAATAGATGCGGGTTCAGCGTATTCAGTAACTAATCTCCGATAGGCATAATGAAATACTAAAAAAAAAAGAATTTTAGCAATTTTCCTGGTAACATGAGGTACTTTTTGGAAGCCTACAAACCGTGAAAGAAAGGATGAGAAGAAAATAGTGAGATTCAGCTTTCCCAGAAGACTTCTGATAACATTTTCTCATCTGTCATGTAGCAGAGCAGCAGGATGTAGATGTTTGCCAACGAAATCAAGCAAGTTGAATCACAGCATCAGTCATCAGAACTGCAACATTGCAAAAATACACAGAAAGGAAAGAAAGAGCTTTGCAAAGAAAAAAAGAAAACTCTTCAAGAAATCTTCACTGAGGGCTGAAACAATTCTCCTCACCAAACTCAAATGGATCTGAATGGACCTTGGCACAGACTTCAGTAGGAGGTGAGCTAGAAAGACAGAAAGATCAGCAAAGATGCCGAGGACTGACCATGAGTTCTGTTGTAGGATACCATGTGACATCAGAGTATCAAAAGGAAGGCATACAGCCAAAGATATTGGAGAATATGACTTCCTATAGCCCTCGCTGTTATGTTTCAGACAGAGTTCAAAAGGGCCACTGAGGACAAAAGATATGTAGCCAAGATGGTTTCACATGCAGCTTGTGCGTGGAATATGCCAGGTTTTCTTTTCTTGGGACTGCAGTCTTGAAGATGTGTATGAGACTACCGCATAAATAATTAAATAAACACATAAATGGCTCTGGCATGGGCAGGACTACCAGAAAACATACAGGATGTGAAATGAAAGGTCTAAACATTTACAATCACACAGGGAAAGTGCAAGATAGTTCTGCTGGATTCAAAAAAGAGGGTAGAGACAATTTCTGCTTGAAACAGGAAGGGATTTAAAGACAGTTTATCCTCAGGATCTCATGCAATAACAGAGCTACAGAAACTGTCTGATTATGAAAGAGTCCACTGTTTAAAACAACAAAGCAGACTCCATGTGGTCAAGTGAAAGTCAAACAAATTTGTCTATCAGCTGGGCAAGGAGGTGCCTTGCAAGACAGCAGGAGAAAAATCTCAAGCTCAAATGTTGGCAGTAAAAACACATGAGGGTATTTTTTGAAAAGTACTCAAAGCAGAAATAGTCAAAGCATAACTACAGTCTTCTTAATGATATATTATTATATGATTTTCATAATATATTTGATAAATATTTATTTCAAAATACATCCTCACACTGTCTTGGAATTGATCAACCACTTCTGTCATACAGTTCTCATTGTACTGCTTATATTTTCGCTATAGAGAGCTCGTTAAACTTCACATGTCTTTCGTTTAGTGAGAAAAACACTCTTCATCGATCTTTCTAAATGGATTTCCCTAACAGTGGATTGATACCCTATTATCTCCCTTTTTTTTCTGCAGTATTACTCAGAATCTTGTATACCCATTTATCTTGAAAAATAATCAGTCACTTGACTCAAATCCTGTCTTAGAAAAGACATCACAGAACAGAAGGAAAAAAAAAAAAGGCAGAAAAATGCAGAAGCCTTTTCCCTCCCTTCTCTTCCTCTTCTTTTATCATTCAGGACCAGCTGTGGGAACAGACCTCTGCGCAATGGGTCTGGATTACTGTTCCTCTTCTAGCCCAAGGCTCCTGCAGTCACAGAAGCAAAAAGAGAGGACAAGACCAGTCTTGACCTAAACAGGAAGAGGACAACACAGGGACAGCAGGGACAGCAGCACACTAGAGCTGTTGCTTACCACATAAATCATGGCCACCGAAAAGTGATAATGGCAGGAGTAAGATAAAATTTGGTGAAGTGCAGGTTCACCAAACCAGAATAATCACATGGTGTAGAGTGGTTGCATAAGATATCTCATATCTTTTAGGAACTAGCTTGCAGTTGCGTCAAGCCTGAAGAGAAGAAGCAGTAGAAACAGGAGGTGGTAAGAATACCGAAGAGCTGGAGGGCTTAGTGTTAGATATGTGATAACTATGTCACAATCATTTACAATTTTATTATGTCCTGTAATGTCCTCAAGCTTCACAGCATCATCAGAGTAAATCTGTCAGCCCCATTAGAAAATTCAAACTGTGTGCTATATAGTCTCCTGAAATTGTTGCGTGCTGGGAATATAGCAGAATGTAATGCAATATTTCAATTGGTGAAACAATGCCTTCATCTGGAGCTCCAAGACATAACAGTCTGCTTCCATTTTCCATGATCCTGGTCTTCTACCTTTTTCTCATTCTGATTGAAGAAGCATTCAAAGTTGCATATGCCAGCTCTGTGTATTTGTTTCCTAAAAACAGCAAAGCTCTGCTCAAGTTTTGCACTTTCTTACCTCTCTGCTGGAATAAACCCTTACCCTTTCCATTTGTTCGTAAGCCAGCAGTTCTGAAGTGAAGATTTCCATGAGCTAAAGAAGCCCTGGATTATACAGGAGCATTGGTGAGAGCAAAGGGAAACACACATGTGCACCCAAGCTTCTGAAAGGGGCCATTTTGAGAGCTGGGGAAGCTAGAAACAAGAGCTGCAAATAACTGCAAAAAAAAAAAAAAATCACTGCAAGCAGAAGGATACTCAGAACAAAACAGTATCTCCTGTAATGTGTCCTTTGGACTTCTTGTGGCTGTGGACAAGTTATGAAGGGGCAAGCTAGTGGAGTGGTCCCATGTGATTTTCTGTTATCTGCTCCTTTTCTTAAAACATTACACAGGGTACAAAACATATAAATAAGATCCAAGAAGGCAAAACTCTAGAACAGTTGTCCTTTAGGTGAGCAGACATAATTTCCATGCATATTTCCCAATGGAAGATGTGAAGGAACAATGGAGTGAAGAATGTTGTTGTGCTGAATTCCATAAAATGTCTGAGACAGGTAACGTGTTTATCCCTTTTCCTCGTAAACAAAGTATCATGAGGCTAACAGTGAATGCAGAATTAATTATGAAGATCTAATGTATCTCTTTACTATGCTATTCTTTCTTTTCCAATGGATCCTTAAGAACACGCTGAAAAATTTACAGAACACAAAAGCTCTTTATTTTTTTTTTCCCAATTGTTGTCACCTGGGCAAAATCAACAGCTTTCTCTACATCCTTTTTACTGTAAACCTGAGGAAGTCTTTAGGAAGTTGGATGTTATTTCACAGAAATATTCTCCAAACATAGAACAAGTTGTGGTAGGTGCACAGATTGCAGATTTGGTTCAGTTTTTCATTCCTATGTTCCTACGACATTTTTCCCTTTATGGATGTTTGTGCGTGCCCCTGATTTTAGAAACCATCTTGCTTGAATATTGATGTCCTTTCCTTCTTCTTCATCTTTTTTTTTTGTTAGCTCTTCCTGAAGTGTTTATGTCAGCTATGAGCCTGAAGCAGACTGCAGACTGTATGTACAGGAGGAGTATAGATATTCCAGGAATTTCCTTAGCTTGTTCTGATTATGCTAAACTGTATTTGCTTGCTGCCCACTTAATTGTTTAGTTTTCATCATGGGATAATCACAGACAGACCTTTATCGCTTTGGAGATGTCTGTCAAAACCCGAAAATTGACCTAAATTTGAGAATATATCAAAAGTCTGGGAACAAAGACTTACCCTCTGGGCACAAATTTTGGATGATAATATTAATGTCAAAAATGTCTTATCTGGATAATAACAAACACATCAGTTTCCATGCTATTCCAACAATAAATTTATTATAAGAACTTCAGAAACAAGCAAGAATTATTTTTTTCACATCTCTCAATAAGATTTACTTCCAATTTCAAAAAAATCCTAAGCTTTCATTACTTCAGGATACTCAGCCATTTGCCTCCTAGTGTCTATCAGCAAACACAAACACATTCATACACCAACTTTTGGTAATGACTAGCAAAAGTTATTCACTGTAATGAGGTTGAGAAGCATCTGTGACAGGAAATGGAAAAAGTAGTCTGTATACAAAATTTTTTGCATAATGTCATTGTAGTTCAAGTTGTGCAACCCCCCTTCAAGTGTAGGTGGCTGCAGCTTTATATTACTATCACTGTATCTTAGGTTCTGCACTGCTGCCCACCTGTATGACTTCCGTATAAACTGAGTACCAACATCCAGACATTTAGTGGGTTTTCTGGATACTCAGCACTGCTTTCAACTTATCATCATACATCTGTTAAGAACAGAAGTCTTCGGACAAAAAGTGTAAGAGGGCCTGGTTAGAGTTTGGAGAAAGGATGGGGCTATTCATATCTTTTTCCTCATAGAAGCAAATAAGTAAACAGTATACTTTTAATGTAAAAGGGAGTATGACAGCACTACTGTCACTATTTTGATTAAAAAAAAACTCTCTAATATAATAATTATATCCTTATTTTGCATAAAATTGGACAAAAGTCAGTCTATGTGAGATTATATAGGGAGCTAAGCAACCCTCTAAACACTAACCAGCAGAATCTCTACCAGTTCACAAGAAAGCTTCTACCGTCCTTCCCCATCCATCCAAATCAAATCAAATAAATATCCCCTACAGGAAAATCTTATTCCACTGAAATCAGCAACTATATTCTTATCAATTTCAACTGCAAGAAAAAAAAAAAGGAAAAGTTTTCAACTTGGAATTTTTTTAATAACTTCTCACTGCTTCTTCTATTGACTTTAATGGTTTATATACATGACTAAAATTAGGTCTGCAATTCAGCTGCCTTACTGAATGAGGTGGACAGATTAACAGGATGCCAAGTAAACACTGTCAGTTACGCATGAAAAATGCCACAATATTGCTTTTAAATGCCAACATACTATTTTCAGGAGTACCACAGTCTGAAGCGTCTGCAAACTTAGGCAATGTTCACTTAAACTGCTTTTGAAATAACCGAAGCATTAGAATATTTAATAATAATTATACTAAAATAATAATGAATTCACTTAAAATGAGAGCAATCGTTATCAGCAGTACACTATAATTGCTGAAATTACAGTTTACAGAATGTTGTATGGAATTCTGCTTTGAAACTATTCAAACCCATAATTTATCTGCTTTATTAGTAAGTACATATTAGTCTGCTCCAAACACTGTCAATGTGTACAAACAACAATTTGGTACTCTCTGAAGACTGAACATGCATATACACTTTCAAACAGTGAAAATATTTCACAACTGTGTGTTTTCAAGATTGTTTCAGGACTATACCAGTTCCCCTCCCCAACACCTCATGTGCATACATATTTTTTCACAAAGTAAAATTTAAGTGTTAATTAATCAAGGAGGGAAAGCTTTGCAAATGATGATATTATGGAAAGCTCTTTGAGAATTCAAAAACACAATTATGTTCCTCAGAAATTTGTGGACAATTCTGTAGCACTTATATTCCATTCAAAATGTGGGTGTGAGAAGAAGATTTAATCCTATAACACAGTGAAAAATTATATCTGAATGTTTAGTATAACAGTTGATTAATTATTCTCAAGTTTTATTTGCTATAATTTTTCTCATTGTAATGAAACTTCAGGTTGAATCTCATTTGATCTTTTCAGTCCTTACTTCCATCCTTTCTATATCCCTTGTTCAATACTTTTTTCTTAAAAAAATGTGGGCCCAGAATTATGGTTTCTTCTCATTTTATGCCATACGATCAATCTCTTTTTCTTGACAGTTAATGAGGTCATTAATACAAGTGTCAGAAATACTTCTTAGAAAAATAAGTCTCTGAGCAGCCTTACCTAAGACATGGGATGCTGTCCTTCATTCCTTCACAGGTGACAGTGTTGGTACTGCCTGACAGGTTCTTTAAAGAAGGAAGCTGGGAGGAGGCATCAGGAAATGCCGGAATTATTTCCGGTTCAGGAGTAATGATATCTTCTACTTCATATTGAAGCCGAACCTCTAATGACTTAAAGAAATAAATACCTAAGTTATAATTTAATAAAGAAAGCTTCTGGAAATTGTATTACTTTCAAATAAATACCAGTAAGTCTTTCTTTCTAAAAATAAACACCTTTATCTTTGTTATTTACAAAGAAAACCATCGCTTCCTACATAGGCAGCCTAATAGCATGAGCAGATAGGAACTGATCATGAATCCTACACTAGTGATGGGTATGTAGGCATATTCCTCCAGACCCTACTTTGATCCAAGCCTTTTATGGTGAAAGGAAAGAATATAAATACAAATTTTTAACATTTAGTATGAAATAGAAATTAATAATTTGCCCTAAAATAGGCATTATTTCAGCATAGGAAGGTATCATTAAGGATTAATATCCTGAAATTTTCTGCCCATTGACCAACATTGTTTTTATAAGCAAATCAACTAAAAGACTTATCAAATCTACCTTCGTACTGCTGATACACAAAGCTTCTGAGATAGATTTTTGCGTGAAAAAAAATGATAGTGTGGATAGTACTGGCCAAGGGACTTAAGGGACTTCACACACGGTTAACAGCCCGTAAAATTCTGTATTTTTTAAATGGCAAATAATTTTTGCGATTTCTAAAAAGCAAAATCCAAACTGGTTATTTTTCACATCCATTCTGGCTTCTCTGCCTCGGGAAAAAGAGACAGGCTCAAATCTGTATGACTAATGATCTCAAAGAATCACAATAGATGTTGGGTATTTTTTTTCCATCTTATGAATTGTCCAAGGAGATTGCTATTTTGAAAAAAAAACAAGATGTAGTCCTCAAAGTGGTAAGGTCTTTGGAATACTATCTGAGTAGTAATTTCCTGAAGGGGTCATCAGATCAAGATCAATTACAGATATAGACACTGCAAAGTTCTTTTCAGTTAGTGATCTCTCTCTGAGACATCATCTATGCCAAGATGAAGGCGGCGGCATTAGAAAATAGCTAGGTTTTATCGAATCAGGAGATGAAGATCAAAACTGAATGTTCCTAAAATCAAGTGCTGTGTTAAAACACCTAAAGTTTCAGAAAGAAGTGATTCTATTTAGTTAGGAGAAGTGTTCCATCCCAAATTTTCACTTTTGCTTTCTCCACTGCAAAAACTATAGATAATTTTTGCCTAAAACAACAAGGAAACCTACAGACAGCCTTTGCCTTCAAAGACTAATGAGCAAAATACTGTTTTGGAATCTCTTGGAAGCAATTGCTGCCTGAATTAAACAATTTATAATGCTGTTTAATCTTCATTTGTGAAATTCTAGTTATCACTGCCTTGCAGTCAGAAGGAAAAATTTAGGCTAATCGCTTGACTGTGGGTTTTTTTTTAAGCATTGGCCCTGGCTGACTGGGCCTTGAAGGGAATGCAGACCTGTCATATGAGTTTTTTTGACATGGTTTGCAGAGGTCTTTTTGTGGGATACTGTCACTAGGTTCATTGATTCTTCTGACATTCAAACTAATGCAAACTTCCTTCTTTTCAGGGGCTTGGAAGAGAAGCTACACTGAGGAAAGACTCATACTACTGAAGTATTTGAAGTTCCTTTTCCTTAGAAAGCAGTCATGCTTACTAGACACCTCTTTGTATAAAAGTGAGAAAGATGAACACATTTTTATTTGCTAGATCAGATGGCATGGATTCAGATGGCAGAAAAGGATAAAAAGGCTGTATGGGAATGACTGCACAACTGGATACGAAGCAGAATTTGTACCTCATGCACAATACTACTCTTCAAAGTGTGATATGGAATGATGCAAATAATTCCTCTGTTCACGAAATTCCACTGTCAACACACAGCTTAGGGTAGATTTAAGGGTGGACTTAATCTGTCACTTGAAGAAACCTTTGTGTAGCCTGCATTCTTTCCATTTACCATGGCAACGATGTTACAAGACTGATCTCAGGCAGACGATCTAACATGAATTTCTTCTTAAAATGCTGCCTGCTGCAGGACAGAAAGGATTTGCAGGCTGAACTCAAACTGAGTTTAGGCTGGTTGCTAGAGGAAAGAGGACATTCAGTGCTAGACCTTGGGCTCACTACAGGCAGCAGATAGGTCTTGAGATGGATTAGATTGGGCTCAGTGTAGACAAAGTGAGAAACCTAAGTCAGGAAGGTATTGCAGCAAAGATTCAATACTTTATACTAAAAACGAACAAACAAACAAACAAAATAATTAGGAGTGAAGACTGAGTGCTTGCTGCTTGCAAGGAAAATGTGGAAACTAAAAGCTGAGGCACCTGTGTATAACAGAGATGCAGAAAACCCAGAAGAACGTATTGACTATGTCAGGAATAGCAGGTATTGGTAAAACAACTCTTTGCAGAATAATTCCTCATAAAAATGCTTTCAAACTACAAAAAAAATCTGAAAAGCTTAAATGGTATACATTACTACATTTTAGAAACTACAAGTTTCTAAAGCAGAGAAAGTAAGAGATAGGAAAACAAGGAAAATAAAGGAGGAGTAATAAAATACAATGTGCAGTTACTATGGAATAATATAAGGACACTACAATGTAATAATATTATAGATCACCTGGTCAGTAGGGCAAAATGATGGTTCCTTAGTTTTCAAACTTTCCTGAAAGGGCAAGGAATCTCCTAACCACCTGGCACATAATTACAGTCCAAAAGTGACACAGATGTTTTTGACAGGCTATAGCTATAGATATCAAAAGGACATTTTAATAATGTGAAAAGGAAAGGGTTTTTGTTGGAGAGTTGAAAAATGAAAGAAAAAGTTTCATTCAGCCACTGGGGGTTGTTGAAAGCTGACAGACACAGAGAATTGCTTTCTGGCAAGAGAGTACCTAAAAGTGCAAATGTTCTCTCTAGACAGTTAATGGCAAGCCTGAAGGAGAGAGATTCATGTTTAGATTGCTGTATTCTTAAAAGTAGTTTTTTGTTAAACGTAGACTTAAGAAAGAATTTATTATGAATGCTCTTCAGTCACTCTGTTAGTAATTGTTGCTGTAAGGCAGACTTGCTGTGTTAATGCAGTAAATGCAAGGTGACCGCAGTACAATTAAAAGAATAAGAACTGTCTGTTTCTATCTGAAATCAAGTGACTGCTTAAGATCTGAAGTCAGAAGAAGGAATACGTGAGCCAAAGTAAAGAATGAGAAGCTTAGGAAATTACCTGTTTCAACTGCTTAGGCATAAGTAGTTGAATAGTACATGTAGTGTCCACTTTTGAGGAAACAAAGATAGCTTAAGCCAAAAATAAAATAGCAACTCAGAAACCTTAGTAGGATCAGGATCTCACTTAAAAGGTTTAAAAAGGAGTATTTCTAAAGCTCTATTTACATAGTTTAAGTTATACTAAGTATATGCATGCAGATAGAGCAGGACACACAGAACTAGAAATAATAACAATAGAAAGTAAAATTTTGAAGGACTTACTGCAATTTCAGCATTTACTTCATGTTTGCTGAACTTGTAAACAATCACATATGCAGAAACTCCTGCCACACAGAAAATTCGGCTTTCAGGACACCAGTACATCATCTGAACAGCAAAAGGGTCTTCTTCCACAATCTCAGCTGTTGCTTTTCCTTCTCCTACTTTCTGCTTTTCAAAAACCTTTGATGTTTTTAACTTGTACAACATCTGTAGAGTAACTGCAAAATATTAACATATCAAAAAAACTTTTTAACGTTGAACACATCAATCACAAAATTCCAAAGAAGTTATAATCTTTTCAGCTGTGGCATAACAAAGAATCATATGAAAAAAAAACAAGGGTATGACACAGTATATTCTAGTATGCAGTAGTAGTTAGATATGCATTTAATATTTCCAAAATGAATATTTGCCTACTTTCTGAGACAGGATGTCAAAAGTGTCTCTCAATCAGATGTCCACAATTATGTTCATACTCAGTGTTAAGGAAAAGATGTGACATGAAGCGATTTTTCTTACAAGATAAGAAACTAAAATTTAGTTTATCTGAGGTTATTGTCTTGAGAGAAAGTGGATGTATGGCATCTCAAGGGAAAAAAATAGAGAATTGTTCTGCAGGCCAGGGAGACTCAAAGACTTTTGGAAAGAACAGGAGTTCTAGAATGATTTGAATAATTGATTAATAAATTACTAATAAATATATCTACATCTGTACCCATACATCAGACCTTAATAACCAGAAGCCTTGGTGAAGGCTAGAACATTACTGTAGTAAATTTTGAAAGTTAAGCGATTATAATTAACCACATCTGTTTTATTGACACATCTTTTACAGTTGCTCTGTGTGATTGCTCCTCAGTCAGCCACAGCACTGGGGAGTGGGTATGAACTATTAACATTCTTGCCTGGTGTGTTTTATCCTTTTTCTGCATTAATTTATCAGTGGCATTAATTAATGACTGCATAAGGTTGGAACAACAAGAAATCAGGCCCAGGACCTATAAAGGGGGTGTATATATTTGTAAAGGTAAAGCTGCATATGTCAGTGTCACTGTGCTATATCAGTCAAGATAGCTTGTATAGCGAATGACAAAAAGATAGAAGAATGGTGTTTTAAGTGTGTAATGAGACTAAAAACACAGGATAATTACATCTTAATTTTACACTGCAGATATATTCTAGGAGTCTTAGCATATGTATGCTAAGCACATATTACAAATTATAGCAAGGGCTCTGTAATGAATATATAACTCCTCTGGCCGTCTGTGATGGTGGAAGAGGCCTCAGGATGCACTAAACCTCACTAGCAAATCTAAGCTGCCACTTAGAATGGGACACCTTGGGTCTGTGCATACCGAAACTAGAATTACAGCATCTCAGGGCACAGTAAAGGACATGGAGTCTTTATGTCTCATGCTTCTGGGAATTACTATGCACCATCTGTGCAGGAGCAAAGAAGAAACATCAATGGCTTTTGAGCAAATATAAATTTGGAAAACTGCTTCAATGGCTTGGCAACTCCCTGTCTCCCACAGATCTTTGAGCACAGTGCTTTGAGATACAAAGCTACTTCATTAAAATATGTCTACTAGCGAAGTATTTTCTGCTTTCACGTATCAGCAGGATACCATATTTGCTGTGAATCCTCACACAAAATTTGAACTACAATAGAATAATTTAAATGAAAACCTTGTAACTATTAAGTACTGAGTACTGTACCAGAAAGACAATACATTATTTTGAGAAGCAGAATTAAGATCAGTACTTTGGAGATGCACTGAAAGTGCCATTACTGTTTAAGGGTTCTGTGAATATTTAGAATCATCTAAGTTCTTACCAATCCCTGTTGCAGCATGAACATACTGTTTAGTTATATTTATTCCCTGTTCCTGCCAGCATTTATAGAAGAAATCGCTACTACATTGGTTCTAATGCAGCGTATTTGCTAAATACTTTGAAGACTTAAAACACTCTGTTTTGCTTCAGATTAACATTAATTCTTGTATTTGCACATTCCTAGATATGTGATGAAATGTGCACAAGACCAGGTCTAGTGTCTCATGCTAATTCTCTATATGAAAGTCATTATTCCCAATTTCTTTACATTAAAGCCCTTTAAAATTTGTTCTTTCTTGATAAACGCCTAGGACCTCAATACCATTTTTGCACAAACTTAGAAGGAAACTTTAACCAGTATTTTCAATATTACTTATAGCTTCTAAAATAGGTCTTCTAACCCCCTAAGAATGGGTGAAACAATTATTTTCTAAGTATTTCCCTGCTAGAACAAATGAAAATGCTTCCCAATTATTTGTGAAACTGAAGGCTAGACAAGTAAAGATAAGGGTCTCTCCCTTCCCCTGTCCTTCCCTGAATATCCACAAAGTTAATAAACACATAGATTTAAATGCCTAATATACAGAATGATATTCGAGGGGAACATTTTAATTAGATATGTATTAGGATACATAATTGAATTTTAATATTTTGTTTTTACTTAGCTATAAAAAGAATGTACTGTACTCAGAAGAGACATGAGCAATGAAATTGAACATTATATTTTATTCAGTCCTTTTTTCTATACACATAACAGAATAATGCCATAGGAATTATTTACCACAGGTTTCAAGATATCATGTCTGGCATTTTATCAGTCTCCTTAACTTTCATTTGTTTCAAAGTAACATATCTCATAAGCATTTTTTTTTCCTAACTTAATAAAATATTCACTTAGTTTTAGCTCATTATTCCAAATTACAGCATCTCAGGGATTACTAATCATATTGTTAAATATTATATATTTGTCTGAATTGTTGCTATTATATAAAAATGGACTTCACTTACTGGCAGAAGCATCCCAAAACTTTACTGATCCATCTGCATGGCTTAAAAAAAAACACAGAAATTAAGTGTGTTAAAACAAGATGCAACTCTAAGCATTTTATACTTTCAGTGAGTAGTAAATATAATACTGTACTTTGTGTGTGTGGTAACTCTGCATACCTTATTGACATTATATAGTGATATCCATACTAAACATAAGAAAACACTTTGTTATTCATTTATTTAAGTTACTAAATGCTTTTTGGTGCATTTCCCATAAAGAACCCCCCAATGAGTTTTAAGATTGTAATTGGATGAAATTAGTTGTCATACTAATGACAAGTGTAAGATACAGTACCTTTGGCCTTACAGTGGGCCAGGATCAAATCCCTGCACTGTAAAAACGACATATATTTCCAATTTTGAAAAGACAGTGGCTAAGTTCATTTTTCTTATTTTCTCATTTTTCATTGTAAACAGCAATGTTTACAATGAGAATAATCTTTTCTTCCCCTTATGGGGGGAAGCAGCTATCACAATCTTATTTTTAAAAATAGCTTTTGAGTATCATTGATTATAACAGTATATCAAATGTATTGCTGTCATCAGTGTGGCTGAGATTGGAGGTAAACATAGACTCCATCATGTGAGAAGGCTGCTTTACAGACTTCTGTTTTACAGTGGTACTTTCTATGCCTTTATCTTTGGGACCTACTCTCACTTGCAAGGTGAAATTCATTCCAGTCGACCACATCATCACTAATGCTGGTATACTAAAAAGAATTACAAATCCATTATTGGTACAGAGTGCGCAGGAGGTCAAAGCTGTGGAAGAACAACTGGCCTCCTTTATAATGCTATTCTCTCTACCCTTCAGGGACACAAACTTCTCTTGCAATGGATGCTCCTTTAGCAAAGATCCCTCCCTCATAAGTGGATAGACTTGCCCTTTAGCACTGGGGTGCTCAATCAGTAATTCTCACAATATTGTTTGCCCAAAGTGCAAAGCGCTTTTCTCTGTAGAAAATGGGATTTTTCTGGTGACTGCAGCAAGAATAAAAACTACAAAGCTCAGTTAAAGAGGCCAGAATATGTATACGTTGATATCCTGTCAAAATTTAATTCTCACTTGTAGCCAGCCCACAGTCAAACCTCTAGACACTAACAACTTAAAAGCACAAAACTTCAATTTCATTCTCACCCTGTGATAATAATTTCAGGATATGTCTGTGCTCCAAGGTTCCATGCTCCACCATTGACTGGCCATTCCTAAGCAAAGACCAAGAATACAGAGATGAGAACTGATCTGGGTAAGTCTTGACTGGTTAATTTTTGACAACCTCTTCTTCCAAAACGCAATACAGCTCATAAAGAGGAGTATAGATATGTACAAGAAAACATAAAAGCATTTTTATATTATCTATTAAAGTTCTATATTTTAAGAATTTCTGCACATCTACTTGGGAAGATGAAATACAGCCTTAACACTGCAATATTTTATAATATATAATATTTTATAATATAATATTTTATAATAACTAGAGAAAGGAATAGCAAACAATCCTGCCACTTTTTTCACATGGGTCTTGGAACTCGTATAGGACTCTGAACAGGGCTAATTAATTTTGGGCATGAGGACTACTGAAGATGCTTGCCCAGAAAAGTAGGAAACAAATATCCAAGCATAATACTAGGTATACAAGATGAGAAAATGTGACTTTCACAGAATATATGAAATCATCATCCCTTCTCTACTAATGGCAAGACACCCATTCTCTTTCTAGGATAAGTCTAGTAGAACAAAATGTAGAGGATGACATATGTGCAGGATGAGTGAGGATGCATGCGGAGTATAAGCAGGCAGGTAAAAATTGGGAGCACAAACTGGATATGTGAATATATGGAATGGACATGAGAAGCACAGAAATGAATGGGAAGTAAATGGTCAGCTACACTTAGAGAGTCTGTTTTTGCGTACACAAATAAAGCAAGCGGACGAAATAATGCAGAATGAATACAGGTGGCGAAAAGTTTGGGAAGTTATGCATACAAAACAAGGATAGATGAACGGAGAAGTTGAAGTGAGAGAAAAAACATTTTCTTAAGTGCTTTGCTTAATCAATATCCAAAAGAAACACATGGTCTCTCCGGTCTCTCCGTGCATGGAAAACCATGCAGCTCTAAGGATAATACTTCTGTTCGTATGAATAGAAGAATGATGGTAACTCTGATTTGCTTACTCAAAGTTTTTTTGTCTAAATTACTTATGATGGATTCATTCTAATTAAAACATATACCAGATTAATGCTTGAAATCTATAAAATAATAGTATTTCTTTTTTTTTTATTTCTGTAGCTAGTATTATTTCTAAAATCATTTCATTAAGACTTTACTAGCTCAGTAAAATAACTATTAATATCCCCATTCAATAAAAATTTCACAGAGATTCTGTGAGCTCTCAGCTTCTACTGAAGCTTTTCTACTAACTTGATTCAGCTGTAATTACTTAAGGCACTATTTTTTCTCTAGTAGAGATAACATACTCAGACAAGTTTGAGTCCTACACTGATGGTAGTCCTCTAACTCGATCTGAAGGGGCATAACTCCAGCAGTCATGCAATAAGGTCCTATACGATGGTGGTTAACGGTTGTTCTTAAACTATTGGTGTTTCAGACTGCCTGCAGCCTCCTACCCTTTCCAGATAAACTCTGTGAGAGCTGCCCTGGTTCTAACCTCTTGCTGTGTATCGCCCAAGATACTAGATGGGCACAGGCTGCCTGAGCATCCATTGACTGTTTCCTCTGATGAAAAAAACAGGTGTGTTTAAGCACCTATGCAGGTCATATACAGCCTGTGAGCTGCTGGTTGGACCATCTTGGAAGTGATTATTAAAGAAGGACAATGAAAAAAAAGATCAGCAAGATATTATAAAAGCGTAAAGTTGTATATCTAGTTACAGTTTTTTTATTTGAAACAATATTATTTTTGTTTACCTTATTGCTGTATCCTTGCTTTTTATGTTTTGCTCCTACAGAATAGAGTACAGGAATCAAATCTGGAGGACAGTCGGCAAAATACTCTGTGCAGGTAACAGGTGACTCATGAATGTCAATGGGATATGGATTTTCAAAGATTGGAAAACTAGTCAAGGAAGACAATTTATTAGAATCACTGTGACACATTGAAGCAAATAAAAATATTATCATATTAAGTATTTAAAATAATCTAAGTACAATTATTACTAAAAACATTTTCCCTTAGTTTTTCAAATATAGGTATTTTTCTTAACGTCAATAATAATGTGTAGTTATTCAAATAAGGATACAAAAAATCTTGAGCTGTGATTAGAATCCTCTTCTTGCAATGTAAATACCCATTCATGTGACTACTTCCTAAGGTTAATAGGACTACTCATGTGAATGAGGATTAGGATCTAATTTTTCCCAACACCTCAAAATTTTATTTAAGAAATACAGAAGTTATACATTTTCTAGAAGCATCACACTCATGCATATGGTTTTTATTATGACCTAAGAATTACCTATGCAGTTGTGGATTTTAACCTGAGTATTTTTGCTTATTGTGTTGATAAACTGCTGATTTTACAGTGACAATAGCAGTAACAGATGAAGTGGATCTCAATTTATTTCTCCCTTGCATCATTTTGGATTGTCTGACTAAAAGCATAGCCTTACTGCTAGCTGATAACACAATGCCATTCATAATTCCAAAATGCAGAAAGACTGTTTCTGATTTCAATTGCATCTATTTAATGCTGTTGAGATGCATTATAGCTCCACTTTCATAAGAATATAGCTCCACTTTCATAAGAATATTGATCCCAGCATGAAAGAATTACTTGTCATTTAAAACAGCAAGTGGATTATGAAAGAATTCCATAGATCTGTCACTATAAATCAATGCCATTGTTTATTAACATGCTTGAGTAAATACTTAAGTGATAGTCCCTGTGTAGTCTAGAGAAGTCAAACATGCATAAAATTACTTGTTGAATCTTGTTTCTAGCAAACAAATGTAGGTCATACTTCAGCATGTGCATGTTGGAGGGCTGTGCTGAAGAGACCACTGGCTTAGACTTATTCCTAAACTTAAAAAAAAATACATTATCACAAGTACTTATGTACTAATACCTTAGCTCTTAAGGTGAAGGTAACCATACAGAATTATCACAAAGAATGACTAACTCTGGATTGCAAAATGACATTGTATGATAACATTCAGACAGATTTGATCTGCTATCTTCATATAAGACTTTGTACTTACTTGCTTTGTGTCAGGTCAACAACAATGAGATCTTTTTCCAAAAGCACAGCTACAGCATAGGGTTCTTGAAATTCTGAAAGTGAGGTATCAAATAAAAATAACATGGAGTTCTCCTATTAATCATTATAAATAATCAAGTCAGGTTATAACTGCTAAACAATTAGGATAAATTAAACAAAAAATTTAGAGTAAATTAAACAAAAGATACACATCCTAGCCATTTGGGCAAACCAGAAAATATTTAATTAGGGCCTAATAGGAACTGAGAAGACAGATGACTTTTGGGCTATACAGCTGATTACCATACATGATGGAACAAGCTATTACAGCCTCCCAAAGGATGACAAACTTAAAATAAAGAAAGAAAAGGATGCCAAAGTTGTGGTATTATTGGTTATTATTTTATCACTGAACCCATTACTACACAGAAAATATATATTTGTTTTACAATAGTAATATTTTTCTGTGTACAACTCTTCTTCCAAAAACAGGTTGTGAGCAGCTGGTCACGTCAACCTGATGAATTCCAAAGGAAAAAGTTCTCTAGACTCTCATTTTAACAATAATGAGGCAAAAATGAAGAAGCAACGTCACAACAGTATTCTGAAGAGTTAGCAAATGATCCAAAAGATACACTTAGGGGAAAGGGGAAAGATGAGAGAGAGCAGATAGGAGCTGGAGAGGCAACAAGCTCTGCCGAACAGAGCACGACAAGAACTGCTCCTTTTGCTGCTGAAGTACCAAACTGCACTTGAAATGGCGGACTGTGATCTTTCGGAGACTTTACTCTTGTAAAACAATATTTTTACCTAGGTTTCATCTTATGTTGGCATTCATATTATGGTGCTATGTAATTTAACAGAGTTGATCTTTGGTTTTTGAATACAGATGAGTTCATCTAAGTTCTATAGAGACCGTACAACTGGAGAAAAATATTTATCACCTATTCTATATAGTTAATTATGACACTTCTCCCAGAAAACACATTTCATTATAAAAGCTTACACTATCTAACCTGCTTTACAAAGCTACACAATTGTTGTACTCTTATTGTACACAATATTCTCTAAGTCTGCTACAGTCAATTCTGATAATGTCATGTTCTTTACATACCCTTTAGCAGATTATGTATTTGTGGTCTTTTGTTAATGCTTTTTTCCTTTTCCTAGAAAAATATTTGATTGAAAAGTATATGCTCCTCTTTATGCACAGCAGACCTCCATGTTAATAATGCAAATACTATTTTAAAAACTGTAAATATAAAATCAAGACAATAAGTTGAACAGCAGCTAACCATTCCAGTATGATCAGGCTCACACTATCCTCATCAGATAGCCAGTGCCAAAAGGCTGAGTAAACTGACTGATTTACCTCCAATTCCTGCCTGCTATGCATGCATATCATTTGATACCTTGTTGTTATACCAGTGAATAACACCAGTTAAACCAAACATGTAAATGTTACCATGTGAGCTGAGGAAGGGGCTATAAATGCTTAATATTGGAAAGTATTTCTTTCATTCAAAATCATTGCCATAATTAAATGAAAGCAAATGCCAAATTCGACTACTGAAAGTTAAAACTTACAGCATGACATTGAAATAAATAGACACTTGTTTTTAATACACATCTGATTTAGCTACATATAAAATATTTTTTTTTCTGCCTGAGGGCTTATAATGTTAAAACTTAAATTCTTTTTGGCTTGCAGTATTTCATTCTTTACTTTCTGGCATTTTCTGTGAATTTACTTCGGAATATAGCAGTCCAACAATATGCAGCAAAACACATTTCCAGCCATGTGAGAAGTGACAGAAATATAAGTACATATATCTTATTGACAGCAATATTTCCTCACACTAGCTCATATGTGTCAAGCCTATATCTAGAGATCACTGCAGGCTTTGTTGTCCACTCACTCACTAATTGTCTCCAATGTTAGGAATGCAGACAGGTTCCAATTACTTTCAGTAAATTTATATTTTTTGAGATTCCATCAGAATGGAAGAACCCAGTTCAGTGAGTATAATTAAGACATTAAGGTTGGAAAGATGACCACATGATTTATATTTTCCATAACTGTACTTTGCTCAATGAACTCACCATTTGGATAGGGGGTTTCACAAAGAGTTAAAAAATCAACTATAGGGTGATCCATTTCAAGAACTGTAATCGCTTTCCCATGCATGATGGTTAGACTTGGTCTTCTACAAGCCTTGTCATATGACAGTCCACCAGAAAATATCACAAAGGGCTCACTGCATTAAAAATCGAAATATGGTAATTAAAAGTTTGCATTTCAATCTTTAAAATAAAAATAGCTTTGTAAAAAGAGAAATATACTGAAAGTACTTTATTAACTCAGGAATTTAACTTAACTACACAGTTGATCCAGTCCTTTGTCAAAATATCTGGCTACCTAGAAATGTGACTTAGATAACTTCTAGCAGCACTAGAGATCACACTAAAGCATATGTCATACATGAATGTCCTGCAGCACTACGCAAATATGAGTTTGCCAGAATAGGTCTACTTTACACATAGCATGACCATCTAAATGGTTACCTACACTTCACCTATAGATGAGGTAAACATACCTGTTTTTACAGGTCTTGTACTCTACTTTTAGAATTGGTTTACAAGATTCAGTTTTTTTTCCATCTCTCTGAATTTTTCCTAAGGAAAGAAAGAGGATGAAAACTTTATTGAAACATCATTATAACTGAACTATCAAACTAAAATATACAAAGTGAAGTAAGTGTAGAAGAAGCAAAAGAATGGAACTTTAAAGCTATAGAAGATGATAGAATGTTATCACCTATTTCCATAATAGATGAGTTTGGCTAAATTACATTTATCAGGGTTTTACGCTTTTACAACCACATATGTCTAAAGGACTATAAACCACATTTTAAAGACACTTAAAAACCATCCACACTACCAGCAGGATGAAACTCAACTAATAATTAATGGATTTCAACAGTTGTGTACCTCCTATTTTTTGTTGACAATTATACTGACAAAATCATACGCTCTGTACTGTGACCAAGTCAGCGACAAAATTAAATGAAATATACAGTTCAGACTCAAAGGTTCTTGATTAGTTATGGCTCAATCCTGTCTTTCAGTCAGAAAAGAATCATTCACAAACCAGAACATTAGCAAATATGGTTTCAGTGTTTTGGAAGGCCTAAGGTTGCTTTCTACAACAACCTGACTGAAGAATTGAGCTAAACAATTCTTCAAGATGCAAAAGGACACAACTTCGAATACAGGGAATTCTGGTTAGGCTTATGTAAAAAAAAAAAAAAAAAAACAAACCTACAAAGGTGCTTAATATTGGAACAGGTTGCTCAGAGAGGATGTACAAAATTCAGCTGAACACCACTCTTAGCAACCTGATCTCAGTGAGCCACAAGTTCAAAGATGACCTCTGAAGCTCCTTTCCAATGCAAGTTATAATCCTATGTCTCTAAAAATCATTTAAAAAAAGAATTAGGAAAGTTAAAACAATGTTAAAACTTCTCTGAGCAGCACAGGTTTCCACTCAGTCATCAAATCAGGCTATTTTCTAATGCATTGATTTACAATAGACTTAATAGCCTTTTAGCTTGATAAGAAATAATGGCATATAAAGTCCCAGCCATAAAAGATAATGGCCATTTCTTAATAAGGTTTATTGCTTTATTGTTTTACTGCAGAGACTTGGGAAGTCTTGTACCACATCTACCACAAGCAACACCCTACCCTGTACAAAGCACACTACTTGTGAAAACTCCACATATTGGCACAAAATACGAATTACATAATATATATAAAAAAATCTTGAAAAGTCTGTAGTCTGAGGACATCAAATAGTAGTAGTAGGCTACTAAGATGTAAAGGATGAAAGAAGATATCAGAGTCACACTACCCAATAAAAAGTATTTATGACACTGACAGAAAACAAAACATGTTTAATGAAAATTGCTATCTGATTTTGATAATATTTTGCAGCTACTTTGCAGATTAAAATATTTATAAGAAAAGGAACTCTTCATTAAGGCTACAGTAACAAAAAAAGGAATAAGCATGGATATTATCAAATAACATTGGGTATATTGAATTGCTTCTGTGTTCTACATTTTAATTAACAAAATTACCATGTGGAATTGTGGTCTGGAATGGTCTATTAGGACTTTTCAGGTTCCAGAGGGTCAAGCTGCCATCAGAGTGACTGCACATGAACTGTTTCCCTTCATGGTGCCAAGCAACAGAATGAATAGCCTAAAGAAATAGTAGAAGTTGAGATAGAATACAGTATTTATACTAATAATATTTTAATGTATGATTTTGGATTATATTTCTCTAGTGGTATATCAACAATTGGATGGTTCTTCCTTATCCAGAGTTCATGACTGTAATCAGCTGCTCACCAAGCAAAAAAATCTAATATGAATGTTAACACAGTAATGTAAGAAAGTCTGTATTATGTCAGACCAAAACGACAGTAACAGGTTGTTACAGGAAGAGTATAAAAACAAGGGATATACAGTACAATCACTTTATCTATGATAGTTCTCAGAGTAGAAGTATTTTAGAAATATTTTATTGGGCAAATATGCAGGGAAAACTGTGTAACAAGTTTTTACAGATAATACACAACATAAATTTGCTTACAGAAACCTATTTAGAAAAAGCAGAAACGGGATATCAGGAAGCTGAAATATCTCAAGAGGTATTCTAGACGAGACACTTAAGAGTAAATAATATCTACAATTACATCAGAGAGGTTCAAAAGATAGCAGATACTAACAAAAGAAAGTTTCTGACAAGAACAAAGTTTTGTCTCGTTGCATACCATGGTTCCTCATACACTCCCCTTGGAAGCACTTGTTTGCTACTGCAAGAAGCGAGACACAGAGGAGGTGGAACACTTCTCTGAACTCTTGGTGAACACAGCAAGTTTTATGAAATATTATAGAATCATAGAATCCTTGAGGTTGGAAGGGACCTCTAGAGGTCATCTAGTCCAACCTCCCTGCACACGCAGGGTCACCTAGAACACGTGGCACAGGACTGCGTCCAGGTGGTGTTCCAGTGCTCTATCATCCTCACTGTCAAGAAATTTTTCCTTAAGTTCCTGTGGAACTTTTGATGCTTCAGTTTCTGGCCGTTTCCTCTTGCCCTGTTGCTGGCCACCACTGAAAAGAGGCCAGCCTCACTCCCTCCCTTGAGGTATTATATACATTGATCAGGTCCCCTCTCAGTCGTCTCTTCTCCAGGCTGAACAGGCCCAGCTCCCTCAGCTTCTCCTCACAGGGCAGATGTTCCAGGATGTTCCTGATCATTATGGCTGGCCACTGCTACAGAGAGGAAGGCAAGATGAAATAACTATGGGTTTTCTTAAATTTTGGATTCTTTAGCATAATCCACCAGTTGGGAGTGGGGAGGTATGCAGGAAGGAAGAAATCCTACTTGTCTGTGGCATGAAACTACATTATGTACAGCTCTATCTTGTCTGGATACTTATCTTTTCAATCTATATTTAACAACTGAGCGACAAAAAATCCTTCCTTTTTTGGAATTTGAATAACATTAACCAAAATTAATTTGGAATAATCTGTTGGACATCTCATTTAAAAACAGCTTAATCTATGGCTCAAATAACTGATGTGTGACTAATCCAACTGGAAAGGATGACAATGTCAGCTGCAGAGTCTTATGCAAGATGAGAACATACTGTAAAAATGAGATAAGATTAAACAAAACAAGTGAGGAAAAGATAGATAGGGAACAGAAAGAGCAAAAGAGTTCACAAAAGTGAAAGAGTCAAGGATGGCCTTAAATATTGAGGATGCAGCTGTAACAGACAAATGTGTGCAAATGGAATGACAATAAAAACACAATTTGCATTGGAGTTGAGGATAATAGAAGAGGGAAAGTTAACACAGGAAAGTCTGGAGAGAAAAAGACTAGCACAAAGACAAGATCTACAACTAAGGTACAACCAAATAATATGAGTAGACAGAATACCATTTCGCACAGAGACTGAGAGTTTTTTGGTAGACAAACATATTAAAACTTAAAGATCCAGAAACAAAAAAAAGATAAATCTTTAAAAAGGTAAACAGTTTACTAGGAAAAAAAGATTCCTATCTACATACAATTCTTTTCTGAGGCTTTATCCATGTCTTTATTGTATTGGTTTGATGTTTGCTTATTTTGTAAGAAACAACATAATTTCTTCAGGATCGCTTCGCAAGGCAGGAAGCAAAGGAACTCTAAAGTGATCCTCTTAAGTAAGTATTTTATTTTGCAAACCATTAACTTGAAATTTGTAGAATTTTCCCTGGAATCCATTTTCCTTCCAGAAATGTTACTTGCTGAATAGACCCTCTTTTTTAAAAATTTATTTAACTGTAAATGAGTTAGATCTATTTTTGAATAGAGTTTTAAAAATTTTCATTTTTGCACTCCTGGAAATTCTAATACCTTGTGTACACTTACAGTTGTGAATGGACTTTTTACCTGCTTTATTCAAATCACTTTAAATTCATGCCTGGACTGGAAAATCAAGCCAACACTGGAATTGTTCCTATCAGTTTTGCATAAGTTGATTAGGAATCATCTTAAATGTGGCTAGTCACTATTCAAAACTCCTTGTTTGTCTTGCTCACTTAATAAGTATATTGATTGATATGGTTGGTAAAGACTGATGGTCTGGAGGAGATTTCAGAAGAAACCAATAAAAAGGCTATGACCCCTTTCCAGAACTGTACTCAGCACCTGAGCCTGGAAAGCATATCCACAAATGAGCCTTGGCAGTAAGACATTCCAGATGCTACAACAGGAATCTTACATGCCTTATATCTAAGCACTTTACCAACATGTTGATAAATTAGTCATACCAATAAAGACATACCAAAGTGAGCTGAATAAACGGAGTGGGGTGGGCACACAATTTCTCATAAAGACCCAGAAGACACCACAACAAGTATTGAAGCAACAAATGATAATGCATGAAGATGTGCTACCATGCACAGTTCAACGCCATTTCTCCAGGGGATTAAGTATTAAGATCTGTGGGGAGCACTGCCACGTTTATAACTGAAGAACTGCCTATGCTTGTGCAAATTAATTCTGGCACGAACTCATTCAAGTGTGCTCTCGCATCAAATTGCAATCCACTTTCGATGTGTTATTACACATATAGACATTTCACATGGTTACCGTTGCTAACTGTCTGAGCAGGAGCTACTAACTAGCAGCTAAAATACATACCAAGCTGCTTGTTAAACTGTCTTTCAGCTGCTAAGTGCAAATTGCCATCATAAACCTCCTGCTGAGTGGAGCTGAGAAGGAATGGTCTCACAGTGATAAGACATTTGGCTTAGCAGCAAGTCCAACTCACCTGTTAGATTTTACTCCAGAACAGGCAAGAATTATTTAAAATTGAGTTTGAAGGTCCTGTTTGGGAATCATGACTGCTACTGAAAGGTGCTACAGATCTAATTCCTAATTTTCTCTCTGCTAGAATGTATCTAGCACTCTGATCCATTCCTGTAGCATCCACATAGAATGGAGCAGCTGCTCACTAGGAACAGGAGTTTGTCACAGTCAGTGACTCATGTGAATGTTCTCACAGTTTATACACATAAACCTTATCACTCCAGATTGGATATATATCTCCTCCTCCTTCTGTAATACCCACAATTACATACATACATACATATTTCATTTTCTGTTATACTCAGCATGTCCTGAAGTTAAGCATATCCAACACCAGTTCTCTCCTAAGCACAACTCCTCTGACTGGTAAGCACTCAAAATTGGCTCCTGAACCATTTTTAATAATATTTTGAACAAGCACCACACTCATACTATCACTTAAGTCATAGGAATCATATGTGTTAGCATTACTGAAGGACTGTTATACGAAAGGCTGCATCAGATTTGATACTTCCATAGTGGCACAGAGCTTGATAAAGGCAGGGAAAAGTCAAGTGGAAAAGATCTTCAGGCCTCTAGAGCTTCATTTTTGGAGATGTAATCAGATGGAAGATGATGACTATACTTTAGAAAGCTCAGAATGTGCTTTGACACAACCAGCCAAACATTTAGACAGTCTGCATATGAAAATGACTGCTCCTTTGGGTCTTCCAAATTTGATCAATAACTTTCAGAGCCTTTGAATGATCTGGCTTCTTTATGCACTTTCTCCCCAGAGGTTTCCTTTATCTAGAAATAAACTTCTGAAGGAATTTAGAAATGGATTTGCAAGGGGAGGCTTTGATAGAGGTTATAATGTAAGAGCATTGATCTAAAAGGCCCAGATATCTCTCACTCAACATATGGATTGCCACTGCCATCAGAAAAAAAAAAAAAAGAAAAAAGAAAAAAAAAGAAAGCAACAACAATTCAAAGAGCAAGAGCAGACACAAAAGTCTTTAGCACTAGGTTCAAGCTCCACTCTGGCATCACGTGTTTCACAAGTGAGAACATCTTAGCCTCTTGAGAAGCTTTGAAACAGTACAGGAGAACACTTAAAAACTTTCTGCATGAAGAGCTGATGACCTGATGCAGTTTCTAACTGGACTTCAGTTAAAAAAGGGTCATGACTACTTTTAGTAACTCCCGTGAAAAAACCACAAATATCAGGAAGAAGTTTTAAAGATAAGATATAGGCTTATAAGAAAACAAGTAGAGAAGTTGCAGATAATGTGCTTGCACAGCTATCATAAGAACCTTCCTCACTTCAAATTGGCAGACATACTTCATGTCATGAAAGCCGGACAGCTTTCCAACCTTCATGAAAGCCTAATGACCTGAGAGCCATTATCTCTTGATAATCTCTTTGTTAGTCAGTTATCCAAATGCTGAAACAAAGAGGACCTGTTCCATCTGAGATGTGTCCAATACTTCTAAGATCTGGATTCAAAAAAAAATAAACAAAAATAACAAACACAACCTACTTAACATGGTGAAAAAAAAACGAAGAAATCATTTTTAATAGTATTTCTGATTGACAATAAAATGAACGCATTTCTTGTAGCTCTATGAAAACAAGCATCTTAAGAGTCAAAATATATGGAATTATTCCGGACTTTAACAATTGAATGACAGTAGATTCACTCCCAATTTTTAGCTTAGAAAAGAAGATTTGGAGACACACAATAAGTTGTCAGCTTCCTTTCCTCTTCAGTATCAGAAAATAGTTGCTGTTAACTTGGGTCAGAGAGCACCTAAGGAAACTCGATATCCACAAATCCATGGGCCCTGATGGGATGCACCCCAGAGTGCTGCGTGAGCTGGCGGATGTCATAGCTAAGCCACTCTCCATCATCTTTGAAAGATCCTGGAGAATGGGGGAAGTGCTGGAGGACTGAAAGAAAGCCAATATCATGCCAGTCTTCAAAAAAGGCAAGAAGGAGGACCTAGGCAACTACAGGCCAGTGAGCCTCACCTCCGTTCCCGGAAAAGTGATGGAACGGCTCATACTGGCCGTTGTCTCCAGGCATATGGAGGACAAGAAGGTGCTCAAGAGTAGTCAGCATGGATTCACCAAGGGAAAATCATGCTTGACTAACCTGATAGCCTTCTATGATGGAATGACCAGCTGGGTAGATGAGGGGAGAGTGGTGGATCTCGTCTATCTCGACTTCACCAAGGCTTTTGACACCGTCCCTCACAACATTCTCCTGGGCAAGCTCCCGAAATGTGGGATAGATGAGTGGACAGTGAGGTGGATTAGGAACTGGCTGGATGGCAGGGCCCAGAGAGTGGTGATCAGCGGTGCAGAGTCTAGTTGGAGGCCTGTAGCTAGTGGTGTCCCCCAGGGGTCAGTCCTCGGTCCAGTCCTGTTCAATTTATTCATCAATGACCTGGATGAAGGCACAGAGTGTTCCCTCAGCAAGTTTGCTGATGATACCAAACTGGGAGGAGTAGCTGATACCCCAGAGGGCTGCGCTGCCATCCAGAGGGACCTGGACACACTGGACAACTGGGCGGTGAAAAACCTCATGCAATTCAACAAGGCCAAGTGCAAGGTCCTGCACCTGGGAAAGAATAACCTCAGACACCAGTCCAGGCTGGGGACTGACCTTCTGGAGAGCAGCTCCGCGGAGAAAGACCTGGGTGTCATGGTGGACGACAAGTTGACCATGAGCCACATCTGGAGTATTGTGTCCAGTTCTGGGCCCCACAGTCCAAGAGGGATGTGGAGCTGCTGGAGAGAGTCCCCTGATCAGGGGCCTGGAACATCTGCCCTCTGAGGAGAGACTGAGGGAGCTGGGCCTGTTCAGCCTGGAGAAGAGAAGGCTGAGAGGGGATCTCATCAGTGTATATAAGTACCTCAAGGGAGGCAGTGAGGAGGATGGTGCTGGCCTCTTTTCAGTGGTGGCCACTGATAGGACTAGAGATAATGGCCACAAACTGAAATACCAAAAGTTCCACAGGAACTTAAGGAAAAATTTCTTGACAGTGAGGGTGACAGAGCCTTGGAACAGGCTGCCCAGAGAGGTTGTGGAGTCTCCTTCTCTGGAGATCTTCAAAACCCGCTTGGATGCAGTCCTGTGCCATGTGCTCTAGGTGACCTTGCGTGTGCAGGGGTGTTGGACTAGATGATCTCTAAAGGTCCCTTCCAACCTTAAGCATTCTATGATTCTATGATTCTATTAAGTTCTTGCCATAGTGATATACAGTTGATTCTACAGATCAATTGTGAGCCTGTCTATTTTGGAGGAGAGATGCATCCAATGCCATCAGGTTAACTCAGGAGAACTGTGAAAGGATGAGGATGGAGACGGAGTATTGAGCATGCTTACATCTTCTCCATGTATCATTACTAGGATGGACACCTACCCAAAGAAGATGACAGAGAAGGAGGAACTTTCCTTGGTACTGAATGCCCACAGTGCGACAAAGAAGTCTGGTGCCAGGAGAATTTTTGACACTAAAGAGAAGTATCTGCTTCACTGATGAGACAAAACTGCTGTCATCTGACTATCCTTAGAGATGCCACAAGAGGTGATGGCTTACACAAGATACCCAGATCTTTCACTATCAAATACAGTGACTATATTAGTTTGAGAACTAGTGCTAAAGAAAGCATACCAATAGTAAGAAAAGCAAGGCTGGACTAATTTCATTCAGACTCTGCTCAAAGAAGTATTCAGTGAAGATAGAGATATTCTACTTTACCTGAGCCTTCACAGGTACCCTGAAATTGCTGGCTGGCTCAGTGTCAGAAGAACAATTCTGAAACACTAGTTGGAGATACAGGGCACAGAGCGCTTGGATCAGAGGAGGAACAATGCATTTAGATCCTAATCCTGTGTGAATGACCTGTAAGAAGAGGCCTAAAGTTGTAAACTTGGGTTGGTGCCAAATACAAGATGGCACATGCTGAACTGATCAGTTGCAACTCACAAAACTTAAAGAGGAATGCTTTTTCCTAGCAGTCTAGATCCTAAGGTCTGGAAAAAAAAAACAGCAGTTAGTCACAAAACCCTCCTGAAGACAAAAGAAGAATCTTTTAAGTGTGCCAGTAGATGACAGGTAGGCATCACAAGATGTCGAAAGCTGAGAAAAGACAATGCAGGTAGCCATTAAAGAGGAAAACACACAACCAGAGAAAAAGGCCAAGAATATTTTGCAAGGGGAGTATTAAAAAGTGTGAAAGAACTAAGTTGTATGAGCGATTCTGAACACCCAAGAGTTCTGTCTCAACAAGCAGTTTAAAAGAATGGAAATGGTATCATGAATATCCTGTTTTAGGTAGCCTTGTTTGGAGCACAACAGAACACAGAGCATAAACAAGTCAGTCTAGTAGTACTGAGAAGAGAAAATGTCCAAGCTCAGGTAATAGAACAGCTTCATTTTCACAAGTATGCATAGACAGACTATTGCTTAGAGACAGATGAATGGGACATATCTTGAGGATTAAGTACTGGCCTGTTTAAATTCTGAATCATCCTGTCTTTTAAAACTTTTGCTATGTGAATACTCAGAATTTTAACCTTGAAGCTTAATAGAGTGTCAATGTGCCATGCAAAAATGCCTTGAATAATGCAAGTTCAAAGACTCAGATTACTTTTTGGAGGGAAATTAAATTCCTTCCATTTGAGAAGGCATATTGGAAAAAAAGGAGAAAATTCTGAAAAAAAAACATTTGAAAGATGCCATGGATCACTTCACAAAGAATTTTATTGCTGTCTTCAGTTGTATTTGCACTTCTTTTCATCCAAGTTGAAATTTACAGAAAAAAATAGTAGAACAAAGCATGTTTTCTCTTAGGGGTAAATCATAATAACTATATCTATTCAAAAACAGCAACCTGTTTATCAACACAAGAACAGCATCTATGTTTGATATAACTTAATTACAAATGACAGCAAACAATAGTCTGATTGGGTTATGAGAATAAAATACTGAAATTCTTTTACTTGTATCTTGACTACTCAGTAGCCCTACAGAGTGATTTGCCTTTCACATTAATTAAGGTACCAGTATTACGTGATTAAGATAATATACAATATGTAAAGCGTCTTATAAAAATTTCTAATGTCGTTAGATCTGCAGGTCAATTTTTCTAAGACTGAGGATCCCCACACAGAGCCTGATGAACTTTTGAGAAGCAAGGGCAAGAGCCCCACTGTCCTAGTACACTCAACAGAATGCTAATGCATTAGAACTAGAGATATCAGGATTTTATCCCTATTGCCAGTAACTCATTCAAAAGAGCATAAACAGTATTTCCAGAACAAGCAATGTCTTAAAATAAATGCCCATCTTCTAGTTAAAAGATGTGACAAATTGCTGAATAATGCTTTTGATGAAATAAGGGAAATTGCTTACCTCATCATAATAAGCTCTCAGATCAGCTCTTTTAGATCTTAAGTCCCAGAACACTACAGTCCCATTTTCATAGCCTATCAGTAGCTGGAGGAGGGAAACAAACAAAATTGCAGTTTCAGATGCAAAAGGTATACACAACTATTTAAGAGCTTCACGATTTTAAGACATTTAAAAATACATATAAGCACTGCAGAAAGAAATGCCAAGATGATGTGAAGACTGTAGTTTACAACATGCATAACCTGCTTTCAAGTTATCTGACAATTCAGCTTATGACATGGAAGAAAAACAAAGCTTTATATGCTTCCTTTTTTCCTCCAATATTACACGACTGGACAGTCCTTACAACTTTATACCTTTTGAGAAATTATAAATGTAGAGTGTTCCTCTCACTTGTTATCTTCTTTGATCCCTGGTTTGAGGGAAAACTATTTAACATCTAAGTGATTACTGAACACCAAAAGGAAGAGTCCCTACTGAAGAGTCCCCACATTAAGCTCTCACTTAGCTGTAGATATTTGTTTTCTATTACTTTAAAAATATGTTGAAAATATTCTTGTAGGAAATAATAACATATTTTCTTCTAAATTGAAAATCAATACACCCATAAGTTATTTTTTACTTCTTTTAGAACTAGTATGTCCTATAAACACCTGCAATTGAGAAATATAAGTAATAAAGACTTGTATAAAGAGGGAAGAGAAAAAAATAAGTATTAGAAGAAAAAGAAGAACAAATGAACACACTGCTTTCTGCTGGTCTGTATTGAAAGAAGTGAATCATTGGTTGGCTATAGTACTGAGTACACTTCATCTGAACAATATATTTCCACAGTAACTTAGTTAAATTCAGTTCTTACGGAAGATGTGAAGTCTGGACTACTTAGGCACTCTGCAGATTGCTTCTTGTAGAGACACCTTTGCAAGAATCTGCCTTGGACAGGAAGATTCCAGGAATGACCACATCGACAGACTCACAGATTTCTGTTGCATACTAGTTTATACACGTAGCAGTGATGATTACAATGGTTCTTTGCCCATAAAAACACATGGATCACAGAGTTTAGAGTTTCTATATTAAGAATTTGAGTAGAAGAAAGATAAGAACATTTCTTAATTTGTGAAATCCTATCAGAATCTCTGCAATCATTTTAGTTGGCATAAGTCATAAAAAAGAATCTTTACAGAATTGAGAAAGTGATGTTTTGTTTAGCAAGATAAATATCATTAATGCATAAATACCACTGCAGCATAGTCTGGGAATTCTCTCAGATCTTCTAAATATCATGCTTTATACTGCTATGTGAATACTCACTATGAGAAGATGCATTACATAATCTGGGAACAATTTATACTTTAAAAATTTACTGCTTGAATATGAATGATATCTCATTATTTAAGAATTCTGCTCCTGACCAAAATTCAAACTGTGCTGGAGAAATTCCGCCAGTTCTGTGGATTCTGAAGCAGAATAAATATGAAAAAAACATCTTGTACAGACAGAACAGAATTAACTAGATAGTACTGTTTTCAGGATGCCATATAGTTAGCATTCTGAGTCAGGATGCCATTCTGAGTTAGCAGATTCCTATTCGGAGAGTGACAAAGAAGGGTCTGACTGTAATTTTTTTCACTGCTAGTGTAGTGATGCTAGCTGGAAAACTATTGTTCATTGAAGACTTAGTGATTGGCATGATGGTTAACCTCAGTAGGTGGAGGCCAGTGCTGTGCTATGCCGTGATGTGGAACACAGCACTTGGCCTTCAGGCCTGTGCAATGCTGCACATATACTGTGGCTGCAGGATATTCTTGTTCAGCTAAATCATAAGAGAGCGGCTCCCACTTGCCATTGTTTTCCACTGCACCAGCTGTGTGTCCTTGTCTTTATCTTAAAGTAAAGCGGCACATTCTCATCTGAACATTCCTTTGCTTGACAGCAAAAATGATGAACAGAATTGTTTTGTTCTGAGAAAATCCTGCAGGAGCTCCAAAGACCAAAATGCTCAACTTCTCCACAGATGAGACTGGCACAGCATGCCATGTCCTGAGTGGAGGTCTGTCTGATGCTGCACAACTCATAGTTCCCAGCATATGCAGCGATGTAAGATGATTTTTCTTTTTGTGTGAGCTCCAATAAATGGTATTTTAATCAATACCTCGTGGAGCCTGAATGTCCTCTTGCAGAGGTCATAATGAATGCTAGCACCGGTGCCTTACAGCTGGGTACCAAACCAGTTTTGTTGAGTTCGTATCTTCCAGTATTCTTCTCACCTCAGCTTTTGTACTAATGTAAAAGGAAACTGAAGGAATAGAAAAACATTGAATATGTGTCTCTGCTTTATAATAAACCTTTCTCCCTGGTGAAGCTGGCTTGTCTTTTGATTATTGTTGCACTCTTTTACAAAGACATTGTGCTCCAATAATTACTATAAGATCAACTATCTCCTTTCAGAGACAGTCAAAATACTTAGCAATCCTGCAGTAGAGAATTGCAGGATACAAAGTGTTGTTAACTCAGGTAAGAAGTCCACTGAAAAATGAACAGTTCTGCTACATACCTGGGAATCTCTCATCTGCTCAGATTATGCTATTGCAGTCATGTTGTTTAACTGATCATAAATTGCTATGACGATGAAGTCAAAACTCCAGCAGGATGAATGTGATTAGTCTCTTCTCCAGAACATTTATGATGGTACAAATTCTGACCTGTCCATATTACAGAAACTCTTAAGTTCTTATTCCTCTTGGTCATGATAAGCACTAGAGAGATCTATAATGAAAATGTCTGTAATACTAAATTCAATAGAAGAAGAAACATCCATATGTGCAGTTGGAGGAGAAAACACCAGAAAGAAAAGAGCCAACGAGGACAGGTGTGCTATTGAACATTGTACTAACAAATAAAGAAGGGTTTGGAGATGTGAAGGTTGGGGTAGTCTTGGCTGAGATGATTGTGAGATGCTGCAGTTCAGGACCTTGTGAGGATGAAGAAGGGAATAGGCAGGATCAGAAGCCTGGATTTCAAAATGGCAAACTTCAGCATCTTCAGAGACCTACTTGAAGGAATCCCGTGGGCTAGGGTCCTAGAAGGAAGGGGAGGCAGGGGCACAGAGAGCTGGTTAAGTAAGTGATTCAAGGATTGCTTCCTCCAAACTCAATAGTGGTACATCCCTATGAATAAGAAGTCAAGCAAAGGGGTAGGAGACCTGTGCAGTTGAACAAGGAGTTCCTGGAAAAATTCCAACAGAAGAAGGAAGTGTACAGAATGTGGAAAAGGGGGCAGGCCACTTGGGAGGAATATAGGAATGCTGTCAGAGTATGCAGAGATCCAAGGATGACTAAGGTCCATTTGAGATTAAATCTCGCAAGAGATGCCAAAGACAACAAGATGAGCTTCTTCAAATACATTAGTAGTGAAAGGAAGACTAGGTAAAATATGGGTCTGCTATCGAATGGGGTGGGTGCCCTGGTTACGAAAGATACAGAAAAAGGCTTCTTTACTTCAGTCTTTACTAAGGTCAGCCCTCTGGAATCCCAGATCCTGCAGACGACAGAGGAAATCTGCAGAAAAGACTTGTCATTATTTGAGGAAGATTATTTTAGAGATCACTTAGGCAAACTTGACACCCACAGATCCTTGGGCCCTGGTGAGATGCACCCAAGAGTACTGAGGGAGTTGGCAGGTATTATTGTTAAGCCACTCTCCATCCTCTTTGAAAGGTCATAGAGAACAGGATAGGTGCCTGAGGGCTGGAAGAAAGCTAGTGTCACAACAGTCATGAGAAAGGTCAAGAAAGAGGACCCAGGAAACTATTGGCCAGTTGGCCTCAGCTCTGTCCCTGGAAAGATGATGAAAAGGCTCATCCTGGATGTCCTCTCTAAACACGTGGAAAACAAGCATGGGTTCAGCAAGAGGAAATTATGCTTAACCAATCTGAGAGCATTCTCTGAAGGAAGGACTGCCTGGCTAGATTAGGGGAGATCGGTGGATACAGTCTATCTATTCTGATGGGCACACTCAGATGAGTGAGGTGAACTGAAACTGGCCAAATGGCAGAGTTCAAAAGGCTGTGATCAGCCATGCAGCATCTACTTAGAGGCCTGTAGTTATCAGTGTCCCACAGGGAGTCAGTATTGGGTCCATTTCTGTTAAAACTTTTCAATGAAGGGACAGTGCAGATCCTGAGCAAGTTTGTTACATTACAAAACTGGTAGGAGTGGGTGATACACCAGAGAGCTGTGCTGCCATTCAGAGGTCCTTGACAGGCTGCAGAGATGAGCAGAGAGGAACCTCATGCAGATCAACAAAGGCAAGTGCAGGGCCCTGCTCCTAGGGAGGAATAACCCCACGCACCAGTACAGGCTGGGGCTGGAGAGCAACTCTGCAGAGAAGGACCTGGGAATCCCTGTGTGGTTATGGACTGACCATGAGCCACCAATGTGCCACTGTGGCCAAGTAGGCCAGTGGTACCCTGGGATGCCATATTAGGGAAAAGTGATGCCAGCAGGTCAAGGGAGGTGATCCTTCCCCCTCTACTCAGCCCTGGAGAGGCCTCTGTGTCCAGTTCTGGGCTCCCTAGTACAAGAGGAATATGGAACTACTGGAGAGAGTCCAGCTACAAAGAGGACTGGAGCATCTCTCCTATGCGGAGATGCTGAGACACCTGAGTCTGTTTTGCCTAAAAAAGAGAAAGCATAAGAGTGGATCTTACCAGTGTATACAAAGATCTTAAGCGAGGTTGTTGAGAGGATGGAGTCAGACCATTTTCAGTGGTGGCATACGATAGGACAAGATGCAATGGGACAGAAACACAGGAAGTTCTGATTGAACTTGAGGAAAATTTCTTGACCATCAGGGTAGCAGAGAACTGGAAGAGTTCGCCCAGAGAGTTGCTGGGGTCTCTTTCTCTGGGGATACTCAAAACCTGCCTGGATGCGACCCTGTGCAATGTAAGGTGACTCTGCTTGTGTTGGGGTGGGGTGGGGACTTCAGCTTCAAGCCAAACAAAACTAAGCAGAATATGTGGAACTGCTTTGAAACTGCTATGATCTGTTTCTTATGGACAGCTGTACCAAATTAAACAGAATGTCTCTCTACCACAGTTTCTTGTACTTAAATGGTCAAAAGCAAGCACCAAAGAAGTGTATGTGAAGAGGGCAAGTACCCATGACTGCCCTGCTTTTTTGCTTGCTACTGAGCACTAAGCTGGCATTTTCGCTCAGTTATTGACCATTACTCTGAAATCTTACTACAAAACTGTAATTATCAGCTGAGATTTATTGTCTTATATGCTAGAAATATTCTTTCCCCCATATGTAACACTTCCCATTATTTACACTGAATTTTAACTGCCATTTTATTTCTGAGTTTCTGAGGCTCTTGAAGTCCAACAAACTTGGTTGCACACTCTCTTTGGTATATTGCTTATGACTATTGAGCCACAAAATTCCCAGAAGTATAGCTTTTTATTCCTTACCACTCTATTCTGAAGGATGATTTTTTTTTCTCCTTCATTCTTTCAAGTAAAATTTGATAAGACTTAGTTGAAAAATTTAATTTACAATTTTCTCTACTGCCAGTTCTTGCGATCTGGAGCTATGTCCTACATTCAGTGTTTGGATCTACTCTTTTCCTGATATTCTCCAGTAAACATCAAACAATGTATTAATTTCACAGTCTTCTGTACCAACACGTAATCACCAAGCACATTCTGCAAATCTACAAGTGCTTTGCTCGCACCACTTGTCTCACTGCACTACTCTCATCTATCAATGACATGAGAAGGTGCACTGGAATGGTTTCGATATGGCTTAGATTTTATTCTCTCTCTCCCTCCAAACATGGAGATGTTTGTTCTTCACAAAGATCCATCTGATTTTGCCATTGCCAGATCTTTGTTAGCATGCTAGTACTTCAGCAGTGCCCAGATGCCTCCAGCGTGTCCTCTGAGCAACAAGCAATTGTATTTCCAAACAAATTCTTCAATAGCTCCCTTTCCTGAGACCTTTTCATCTTCTGTCTTTCTGCTGATGACAAAGTACTTTAGATTTCGGTTTGGACATCGTACATGACATTCCTTTAAGGGATGTTTGCTCTCAAGACAATTTTTGTAAAATTATTGTATCATTATTCCCTACTGTACTTTAGGTAAGTCATCAACAGCTACTGCTGTGGTTGGAGGACAACCTATGCACCTATATGCCTAACCAATACACCTCAATTGTTGTCAGGTAGTTGGTTATCAATAGTTAAATAACATTTCTTGACAACTTCCGGTCAGAGGCTGAAACACTATACTTCACAGTGTTTAATTGTCTTCATTTGCTCTGTCCTCAATTGCTTGATCTACTCTGACTCTTCCAAAATCCAATTTGAAATAATGAGCATTGGAGCTAACTGGTAAGTGCATCATTTGCACATAGTTCAACTTGCAGTATAGAAAAGACCAGGGAATGACAACACAAATGCAATTCACATGTAGCCTCCAGCCTTTTTCCCTAGATACCCACATTAGTTTCAGCATGAAGTTCCTTAAATCATATCAGAAATTCAGACAGCTTGTAGTTTCCAACTGCCATTGCCTGTTACATAACTAAGGGGCGCAGCCAAACAGATACACCATTTACTAGATGCAACCCTGTATAAATACTCTCTGAAATACAGTTATCAGAACATAAAAAATCACACACAAGATTATATTGTTAATTGTCCCCTCTACATGGCCAAAATGATCAAAAATTATGTACCATCACATAACTAAAAACAGGCCAATTAATACTGGCATTGTGACAACCAAATTTCATTTTGAAAAAGCTACTGTGCAAATAATCTGACTCAGTTTTTGCCTCCTGATGGTATCAATCACTAACTTTCAGACAATATATTTTGCTTCCATTGGTTGACAGCTCTGCTATTTTGAGCCCTGTTCACAAACAGCAGCATGTTCCAAATGTGGGTGCTATCACTGGAGTTCCTGCAGAAAAAAAGACTTATGATCTCATGAAAACTTATGAAGATTCCCTCAAAATAACATGCTTATCAAACCTGAGATCCTCACACAGTCTTTAGGCAAAACTCATATTTATTTAATCAGGAGCAATTCTGACTGTAGATTTCAGAGAACAGTATGCTGTTTGTATCTCAGAATCATAACATTTTTCCTCATTAAAATTTTCCACAGAAAATTGCTTTCTAAAAAATTGTAATTTGCTTAGAGTTCCCTTACAGATGAAAGCATATAATTAAATTATTTTAAAAAGCATAAAATTGATTTAAAATGAAAGTGCTATTAAGGGCAATGAGGGCTATGAAATATTGTGGTATTTTATATAATCAATTGTACTCACTTTTCCCTCATCTCTCGGGCTGTCGCTTAAATGTACTACTGGCCCAGGGTGAGTCTTTGTGGATCTGCAAAACAAAAATCAATTCAAATCTGTGAATCTCTTTTGTATAAAGATGGAGGAGCTTATCTTATCTTTTAGGTATGTTAACCTGCACTTTGAGTGATTTAAAAGTCATTCTAAAAAGTCCAATAGGGGAAAATACATACCTGAAAGTTATCAGTACCTCTCTATGTCTTCCTCTTACTACCTGTTTGTCCTGTTCTTGGCAAAATCTCTTTTTTTTTTCTTTCTTTTTTTTTTTTTTCCTAATTTTTAATCTCAGTAGTCTTCCTGTAACAGTAATGTTTTCATTTATTTTCACGGTTTCTTTTTTTGCTTTTTCTGTGGTCCACTCCTGCTTTCCACCCTCACTCCACCCTTGCTTGATTTTAAGGTTAATCTGTCAAAGATTCATTAAGTCTTCACTGGTTTCCTTTCAGTAACTGATTTCAAGTCCCACCAACTTTCAGTCTCATGAGCAGTAGGTCTTCAGCAGCCTTATCCAAACTGTTCCATCAGCTTCAGTGAGGTTTCTAACATGAAGCATCTTGCCTTTTTCCATTCTACAAAGCCTTATAATATCTTCAGACCAACTACTACAACTACTACACCCACACTGCATGTTCAGTGAGGCTTCTCAGCCATTTGACCTATCCCCTGAGCCTTCATAACCCACTATATAGATTCTCTATTGTTCATCCTATCTCATAGCTACTACCTTTTTGTAATTGTTATCAGCAGCTTATTATGCAATTAAGCTTATTATGCAATTAAGCAGTGCAAGGACTGCTTCTCCAGTCACCATCATCCAGCAAATGCAAGTCATAGCAAAGTGAAGGGACAGATGAAGATTTTTAAATTGTCACCTTTTCTGACCAGTCCTTTGCAGTCCATAGTCATACACAGCATAAAGACAAATGCCAGCCTAAGACTAAATCCCACACCTTTACATGTTTTGTATGCTAGCTGCATACATTACAAACGCCAAAAAGAGTTAGCTAACGAAGCTAGTGACAGTGTGGCCGCCACCATCTGCATGAAACCCATGCCACTTTTAGCCTTGACAGAGCTACTAGGCTCCCCAGTACAAGGACATCAAGCTTCTAGAAAGGGTCCAGCATAGAGCCACAAAGATGATTAAAGGACTTGAGCATCTATCATACGAGGAAAGACTAAGCGAGCTGGGCCTGTTTAGTCTGGAGAAGACTGAGAGGAGATTTGATCAACACGTTCAAGTACCTGAGGGGTGAATGTAGGGAGGATGGGATCAAACTCTTTTCCGTGGTGGCTGGTGACAGGATGTGGGGTAATGAGTGCAAGTTGAAACATAGGAAGTTTAATCTCCATATGAGGAAGAACTTTCCTGTGAGAGTGACAGCCCTGGAACAGGCTGCCCAGAGAGGTTGATCTCCTTTTCTGGAGATCTTCAAAACCTGCCTGGATGCCACCCTATGCCACGTGCTCTAGGTGCCCCTGCTGGAGCAGGGGGGTTGGACTAGATGATCTCTAGAGGTCCCTTCCAAACAGTTTATACAGACTGTGCTTAATAATGAGGAGAGCAGCAAGTATTCAGTTGTCTTGAGTCACAGCATGCAGCATTCCTTCTGTGGACAGCTTTCAGAGACACTGTTAGCAGGAGGCCTGGCTGTCATTCCTATCCAAGCTAACTCCCCAGAGGGGGTCTGTCAGGCTGACCTTTAACTTATATTGATATAAAAAACCACTTCTACAGAGTCAGGCCTGGAAGCAGGCAGGGTAAGCAGTGACAGAGAACAGAGAGGTGAGATAAGGATATGTGCAAGCAGAGCTTAAACCCATACATGCGCACTGTATGTCCTCAGCGAGGCCATAGGACATCCTGGTACATTCTAGGCTGCTTTGAACTTTGTTTTTGACATAAGCTCACTGTCTGGACAGGTCAGAACATGTTGAAGGAAAAAAACAGGTCTATATGGGTTACAGGCTGTCACTCATTATTTTATTTCCTGGCAGCATCCAGAACTGAAAAAAAAAACAACTTAAAGGAAAAGAAGGAAGTAAAAGAATAGGAGGAAGAACTGGTCAAAGGAAGGCAGCATCGGAATACTTTGTAGTCAAATGAGAACCACTCTGCTACACTGCTTACCCACATCTCTCTGTCTCCGTGCTTAACTATGGTAGCACTTCTTGCTATGCAAAAATGGTGCAGTTTCAAGACTGCTCTATGTTGATTATCAAAACAGGACACTGAGCAAAGCCACATAAATGCCAGGAAAGACTAAACTGGTAACGGACAAAATGGCAGAAGGAGCCGGCCGGCGAGGTGGGGTACATTTGGCCAGTCATTCCCGACCATTAATTATTAGGCAGGTTAGGTTGCTTGGCTACTCCAGCATGGGTATTTTACCAGGAATATTTGCAAGAAAGGGGCAATTAGAGGAAGCAAGGGAAAGTGCATACTGGCTAAAGGTTGATTCCGTCTAGATTTTTCTCTGTATTTACTGATTTTTTAAGTTGAGAACAATTCAATCCAATTTGTATGACCATCATTTTCTCTTTAAACTCAATGTATTTTTGCATACTAAAGCAAGCTGCCATTTACCTCCGGGGGAAGTAAATTGTTACATGACCTGTAGTTAATCTTCATTACACCTCATTTTCAGACTAACGATTCTTTCATTTTTACACAAATTACTTTTTTTACTCTGTAAATGACATCAAATTGTTTTTAATAGCAGTCTTATTTTCCTTTTATATTCCTGAAGGGGAATATCCTAAGATTTCTGAGCTGAGACACCAGCTATAAGGGATAATATTCACCAGCCATTTCCTACCTCCTTCATTTTTCCATCTTGCGTCTACTGTAGCATGATAGTTAGAAAATCCCAGGAGGTTTGCATCCTGAAGCACTGTAATAGAATTTCTTTTTGCTTTTCAAGGTATTAGGCACTTTTTATTTCCTTTTGTAGCAATATCTTTTTATAAAGTTACAAGCCATTTCTTTAGCTTCATTGAATGAGAGCTTTGCTGATGTTATTCTTAAAGCTAATTCAAACCACTGCAGTCAGTGTACTAAATTTATGAAATTATATTTTTCCCTCATTCTCTTTCCCCTGTATTTGATGCAAGTGTTCTCTTATTATCTGTACCTTAATATTTAATATAGTGTTCCCTCTCTATTTTAACAGTTTAGCTGTTCTGTACTACAAGTGATATGGTCAGACCATTTCCATTTTTTTTTCCAATCTTCTTATTTTTGTTTGGTACGTCCCTCTATCAAAAGACAGATTCAATGAACTATTGTTCTGCTTCCAGACCGACACCAGCAGTCTTTGCTTCAGTTCTTGTTAGCGCTTTAATATCAAGTGTTATTACCATAATTGCCTGACAGCTGCTAGCTTTAATTACATGTAGGTTAGAGGAAACAGAACATGTACCAGAGTCTGGCAGCCACAGCACTAACACTGTCAGAAAATGAGAAAGGATTTTTTTCAAATAATTTTATATTCTAAGACTCATTTTAGATTTGCCTTCCCAAACAAGATCTCACATAGAGGTTTGGAGGTGATGCCAACAAGATGTTCATGAAGCATTCTGGGATTAGAAAGCCTTGTTCTCCCTAGCAGTCCCTCTTCTTTCATCGCTTTTCCAGGGGTCTATTAAACATTGTTTTTTATATGTATTCTTTCCTTGCAGAAACAAGAAGATACACATCAAGTAGAGCATTCACATCAAAACTGTTTCTTCTTTGGTCTAAACAATGAGGAACATTCATAATGCACCAAGTATTTGATTTGATTTCTAAGACTCAGTGCTGTGTTGGGCTAGATGTTTAGGGAAGGGTTTGTTGATACAAAATATCACTATTTCAGATAGAACAGGGAAGAAAACTGAGCGTGAAAGAGACATAGCCTTCCCCAATCTATGTGGTCTTTTCCCTTGTTGCCCTGAAGCTGTCCTACAATTGGGCACAGAGGAAAGACCTGATTAATCATTTTCTCACTGGCAATGCAACTTTTTTGCATCTCTTTAAGTGATACTATCTCTCCTAGTGCAGGACAGTGGAATCCTAGAACCCCTAATCTAACCGTTTGTGCTGCACGTTAAGACCAGGAACATGCCAAAGAAAGATCAGTTCTTAAAGCAAGTGTCTTACTTCATACACATTTTTCGTTTCTTCAGGGAATTAATATAATAAATAGAAACAACAACGATGTCTGCTGCAGTCCTAGAAAAGTGCTGCGCATGAAAGGACTGCCAGACTGTAGGCTTTAAAGTCAATTTCTCCTAAGGGTAGACATAATGACTGCACTACAAGTAGGCTTATGGGAAGTGATTATTTAGGTAACCATGTTACATCAATAATATTAGTTTACAGAACTCAGAACACTGTCAGAGCTACAGATAAAGTAATTTTTACTTTCCTACAGTACATTATACTGTATGTGGAAATATCTACACAAGGCAACTTTTTGCCTCATCGTAGCTTTAGCCTTGGTAAGCATAAAATACTTTTTTTCCTCTTACTGCTATTATGGTAGAGTTGTCAAGGAGATGATAAAGTTGTATGCCCTCATACAGTGGTAAAGATAGGAAAATAATGTTGAACTAAATTAAATGCAAAAGTAGACATTCAGAAGTTCCTGGAAAGGATGTAAACACGTTGGAAAACCAAACTTGAATAAAACACACTGCTGTTTATGCCAGATATTTCTTTATAGGCTTTCCTCCTAGCTTTCATTGTGACACTGCACGAAAGGTGACTAAAGAAATCAGTAAGTAGGGAAGAAGCAGCAGAGCAAATGAAAGGGGAGTAAAATGCGTGATTCCCAATAATTAACCTGGATACAGCTGCAAGGGACTGAGAAGCTAAAGCTCTGTAAAAAATGAGAAGGACAAAAAACAGAGCCAAGCTCATCAAAAACATGTCAAGTCCAAAAAAAAAAAATACCAACAGCCATGAGCTGTAGTAAAGAAGCTCAAAAAGCTACTTTCAACTGAGCAAGAAAAAAAGAATGAGCTACTTACCCATGAGATGAAAACTTTCACCCCAAGATAAAAAAAAAAAGACTGCAGAAGAACTGAAAAATGGAAAAAAAAGGTTCCCATAGCACCTGTATAAGACTATCAGCACATTAACAAATTATTGATACATTGAATTGTTTCCTATTTCAGAAGTTATTCCTGATAACACCATGTATTAATTTAGTTGTTGCATATTCATGATATGCCAAGCACCTGAGATTTGACTCTTAATGAGGAGAACAAGAATGAAGCAAAGAACTATTTACTGTGAAAATAAATAATAAAAAAAACTTGAGAGGATACAAGATTTTATATAATTTTTTTATTTTAAAATTAGAAAGCTCAAAAATGTGAAGTCTTCAGCAGTTTTATAATTTGGATTGGAAAAAATGCGGAAAAATATATAGATGGTGTGGGAAGATAACCCATCCTTCTGGGAAACTATTCACTCTGAGAAACTAAGTGGCATAAGTAATGCTGAAAGAACTTCATTTCTCACTAGCAATCTGTCAAACTCAAAATATGAAAAATCTGCACTCGAAGCCCCTTCTCAAGTAGACAGTGTTCAAGTGCTCCCCTAATGAATGAATGAGTTATGGGCTTGGGAGTAGCATAGAAATGGTAAAATTGGAAGTCAGTTATGACAGAATCGTAACTTTTTTGTCCCTTAGTCCTTTTCTTTCAGACTCCTCGTGAGATCTTTTTACAAACACCACATGACCTTCCAAAACGTCCCATTCTGCGGGCTGAGAAAAATAATCCCATAGTGCGTGGAGTCAATGGAGACATATGTTGACATCACTGACTGCTCCTCTCTTCTAGACCTATTTCCAAAGATTTGATTAGAGAGTAAAAAAACAAGATACACAATGAGCACCAAACATCTTTGATCAAGGACTAGCTCTGCTGCATGCCACAGAAATGACAAGTGGAAAAAATTTAACTTACTATTTCTTCACAGCTGAACAGATACTTTTATTGTGATCTGAAGTAGTAGTAATGCATGAGACAAAAATGGCTGAGACAAGAATAACTACAGCAAATGTTTCTAAAACTACCTATATTCTAACAATATTTTTCAGCTCTGAACAAGGTGAAGTCCACTGCAGCCTAAACAGTGCACCTGATTTATTAAATTTTGTTATTATTGCTGCTGTTGTAATTTCCAGCATCAGTTTGCCTTAGTACTGAAAATCATCAAATAAAAAGACAGGAAAAAAAATCTTTCCTTTGCATTACTATTTTTTCAGGCTTTAATTTTTTCCCTGAAAATATATACCATTTTAAGATGGCTGGATGATTTTTCCTATGTTAGAGGGCAATAGACTCATATCAAAAACAAAACAGGTATTTCAACCATCTTTCTCAATTTATTTCTCCAGTTGATATTTCTGAATTATTTAAAAATGAAAAAAAAAAACTATCATTCCAAAATATAGTGCTGCATAGCTCACTCAGCATATTTTGATACAGAAAGGAGTAAAAAAAATCATAAATGGTGATAAAAAGTAAGCAAACAAAGCCTAAAACATTTATATCTGGAGTTAGCCATCTTTCAGTTCTTTGCCGAGTGACTTCATCTGAACCTTGCTCTGTAACACAACCACTAATATTTTTATAACCACTATCAGGAAAAAAAAAGAAAGTTAGAGTCATTTTATGGGCCTCAGTGTCTGCCTGTCCTTTTTTTTTTTTTTTTTTTTTTCCTTTTTTCCCCTGAGCATGAACAGTTATTTTCTCTGTAATTAATCTCAGTCTGCCTGAAGAAATTGTGTGTGAGGTTGAAACCTTGGTAAGTCCATGAATTGACTAAAATGAGCTGTTGAAGTTAGTTTTCCATGCCTCACTTTTTGCATCTATGCAACCCCATTTGTTATATTACTTACTGAACAATGGTATCATGACCTTACATGGAGAAATTCATTCTGTGATGAAAGGCTACGATATAGCTTGTATGTCTTTTCCAAAGGACAAAACGACAACACTGGAATTCTAATCTCCTCAGGTTATCTTGACCTCCACTTTATGTGGAAGCCCCCATCCATGTTCTGGATTTCTGTGGAGTTTTGTTTGTTTCATAGAATCATAGAATGCTTAAGGTTGGAAGGGACCTCTAGAGGTCATCTAGTCCAACCCCCCCGCACACACAAGGTCGTTTGTTTTTGCTGTTTTGTTTTTGTTTTTTTTTTGCAAAAAAATCTGGCTTGATTCAAAGACATATGGTTATACACAGTTCACCATTTCAAAGTTGGAGCTTTTCAAAAACTGTATCAATTCCATCTTTTATTGGTTTTCGGGTGAAACCTTGGAACCTTGAGGACAACCCAGTTAAAGCCACGTGGTGAGAATTGACTGGAATTTCATCAGAAGGGGACTGTAAGTCAGTGCAAATAATCAAGATGGATCTTGCAAGAAACTCAAATTGTTAGCTTGCAATTGTAGAAACTGCAGGTGAGAGTTGCGTGAAGAGGGAAAGCTCCTTCCGGCTTGTTTGGGTAGATGAAACACAAGTCTGACACATTCAGAATTCTATTCATAAACTCTCCATCTAAACTGAGGACATGAAAGCTGCAGAGAGTTTTCCTAGACTTTCTTTGCCAGTAAAATTCACCCAAATATGCCTGTACAGAAAGCAAATACTTTGCTTCCACGCTTTGCACAGAAAATAGTATCTTTAAATTAATGCCACACTGAAAAACAAAGTTATGAGGTTGAAGCTTTTCCTAGGGACATACACACACCATTTTGCTGTTTTCTCTCATCTTTGAAAGTATCTAGGATCAACAGGCCCTATAAATTTGGGGCCAAGGCCCTGAGCAACCTGGTCAGACCTCATAGCTGATCATGCTGTAAGCAGGATGTTGGTCTAAAGACCTTCTAAGGCTTAGAGACTTTCCAGCCTGAATTTTTGTATGCTTTTAGGATACAAAAATATGACAGTGGCTTAAATCAGTGGATTAAAAATATAATCAAATAAGAACACATCCATTAGATCAAAGTAAAATAGTTCTTGTAAATACAGCTCAACACGATTGAAAAGGAAAGTCTATTAACAAACACCCATTCTCATGGGATGCACCTTAAGTATAACAACCTTCAGTTCAAAAGATAATCTACTTAATCATTTTTCTTCCAATACTCTTGCTCACTTGGGAAAAATGCATAGTCTGTTGTTATCTTATGTTATATTCCAGACAGAGTTCAAGTTAGCTTACCAGGGAAGTTACCTAGTTCCAATGTCAGCCTGCTATGGCAAGCATCACCATTATCCCCAACAGCCTCTTCCTTAAATACAGAGAAACTAATCTGAAGACATACAACATCCCAGTGTCTACCTGTGTATTTACAACTAAGGATAACTTCCCCATCCATTATCAAGAAGTATCAGATGTGACTGAATGGACAAGACAGAATTTTCAGGCTAGCACTGCTTACAGAGATAAAGGTGCGCTTTTAAGACTGATTGAACTAAAAGTAGTAATGAGTGGATATTTGTACTCAACTGTCACGAAGATGATACACGTCAAAAAACAGTTTTTTAGAAGAATAAATGATTACGATATCCTTGCAATATCTCTGAGTACTTGAGATGACAAGGCATATCTGCATTATGTTGTTACTGTCTTTATGTTTTATGATTTTTTTTCTTTCTTCCAAAAAGTCGTTACATTGCATAGACAAAACACACTGAGAAAATTCAAGAGAGGCTGCTTGTTTACCAAAAAGGTTCCCAAGAGGAATCCTCTTGCACAGCATCTAGCTTATCTTAGCACCCAGAACTCTTGCTCTTTACCAAGCAGCCTTTGCATCCCACATACTTCTTCATTAAATAAAAACATTATTTTAACCATTTCTCAGTAAAAGAGCTATATTGTAGCCATTAAAAAAAGGATTTAGGCAAATTATTTCAGGCAAATTATTTTAGGCAAATTATTTCAAAACTACTTTGAAATAATTGGGAAGGGGAATTAGGTGAAAAGCATCCATTCCATAAAAATGCAGGTTTTGAAATTGGAAATTCCATGCAGAAGAACAGCATTCTAGTTTCTGAGGAAGAAAAAATAAAGTTAAATAATAATAAAAAGTTAAAAATAACTTAAGTTGCTCACGAAAATAAGCAAAGTTTTGTTAAAGGAAGACAAACAAGTATACAAATGGCAATTTGATTCATCTTGGCTCACTGAGCTTGATTAATTTCAGTTTACTACCTAAAGTTACGGGTTCCTCATGACATTAAGTGGATGTCTCAGAAACTGCACAAGTTTGTCTGCAGCACTTCTGTTTGCAAAAATTTCACAGAGGAAATAGCAGAGAAGTACTTTTTCATTAATACCAAGGCTTTCATTGGCAAGAACCAAAGATTCATTCCAGACCAAAAAGGCTTGCACTTCTCCCTCCATTTCCTATACACTGCACACAGAAGTTGAGCTTGCCTTTCCAAGAACTGGCATTTGACAGACACCAAAAGCTGCTCATTACCTTCCCTCTTAGTTCATCAGCAACTTTTCATGAAGATCACTAGGTTCTGATAAGCCTGATAAACGTTCAGATTATCTCTGCTTTGACCAGCAGCTTGGTCTAGAGCCCTCCAGAATGCCCTTCCAAGTTTTTCTACTTTCAATAAAGAAAAGTTATACATAGAGTCAGAAGACCAATGTGCTCCCTTATTCTCTTCTGAGGAGATCAGACCATATTGATAAAAACAGTAGAGTCTGAATTGATGAGATTCACGATTTAGCTGTATGTAATCAAACTTGAGAGTTATACAGGTTTCCAAATAATTTAATAATATAGTTATATAATCATGTTTCTAATTTCCTAAAGTCCAACAACAGTTAATAATATATAGGCTTTAATATAAAAAGTTTTCTAGAATACTTGTAAATGTTTGTAAAATCCAGTTATTCTTAAAAGGGAATCTATAGACAGCTGCCAGCAACATGAAAGTGACCACAGACACAAATGTAAAAAAAACAAAAAACTGTACTTACAGTTCTATCGCCTTGTTCCACATGATAACATATCCAGAAAGAATGAAAGACTCAATATTTACAATGTGTGTGTTTCCCCTCTCTGTTCCAACATAAAGCCATTTACTCTGGAAAGGTAGATGGCAGTAAGTAATCCTGTAAAGAAAAAGAAAGGTGACTAATGCTGTGTCAACATTTCTTTTTTCCAATACTTACAGATAAAGTGAGTGTTCTTTGTATTTTAATCTCTGAGGAAAAGCTGGGTAGCACTTTTCACCAAGTGCACTTTTTTCCAGGTCACCTGCTAAAAAATCACAACTGAAAATCTAAAGAAAAAAAAAAAAGCCATCCTGCCTACCTAGCCATCAAGCCTACCTATAGTAAGGGCAGGCAAGGAGAACCAAAGCACTTGTGCACAACACTAGTTATATTATTTCCATGAATATGCAAAATACACTGTAAAAGTATCCAAGATGCTCAAGTTAGACTTGAGCATGATTAATGTTTTGAACAAGTGTAACAACATCATTCACACAAGAAAACATTCACTTTGTTGGGTGCTAGCTGGGCAAATAGGTCACTGGATAGCACATTACCAGTGCAGTTAAGCATTATATGATACAGGCTCTGAAATCTACTACATTCATATCATTCTTACAGGGTGATAAACCGTTTCAGTATTAGTTTGGATGAAATGGTAATTTCTGTGAATAATACATAAATATTTTAACAGATAAGATGAATGAGTGAATTCAGGTTTGTCAAATATAAGAGTATTCATATTCAAACAAACCCCAAGCTGATTCCACCTAAAATACAAAACCATTTGCTGCTGAAATCTGTTTGCTACATACACAGACATCTTCATTTTATCTTATGATATAGCCTCAGGAATTTTGACAAAAAGCAGGCATTTCACTTGCTATGCCACATGTCAATTTTTATCAGTCAATTCCACAAGCCAAGTATTTCTAGCTTTGATATACAAGCTGGAGAGTTATGCAATAATTTTTATCCTAAAAAACGAAAATCAAACAATGAACAGCATTCATGAAAATACATATTTCCAAGTTATATTCTTATGGTAAAGCAATCTTTTTGAATTCATTATAAAAGAATGAGAGGAGTGTTGGTTATCTTCCAATAATCTAACCTTAAATATGTGAAGTCCTCTGAGGAGAAGAACCACACTTGAAATTAAAGGATTTGTTTAACATTAATACAGATTTCACATATTTTCTGTAAACATTCCTGGTTTGGGACATTATATTTTATGCTAGATCTAACAGAGTTGAGATATGCTGTCTTTGAATCCTGATTTATGGGGAAAACTATCATTAAACAAGGACTCCAGCAAAAGGCTTACCCTTCACAGATATTCAGGCTATTTGTTGATTCGAGTGAGACAGAAACGTGACACAGGCTTTGTTCTGTCTATCTGCACAGGGGTACATTTTATTAGTGATCTCATTATGGCAATGATTTGCCTACCTTCAGTGTAAAGAGAATCAAGTTTTTCAAGACAATAGCTTTCAGAATGGAAATTACAGCTTAATGTGTATAAACTAAAATGTCTTCAAGCAACAACTGTTAATTGTGGGTGCAGTAAAATTGGCAAACATCTAAAAAAAAAATAACTGGAGGAGCGTGCCACCTGCATTTTGCTTGCTGTAATTTAAGCCCCTAGTTTTATTGTTCTGTTCATAAAGGATACATTGAAAAGGTTACCTTTTCCACTTAGCAGTTTTAGAGTGAGAAAGATTTCATATTTTCATGTCTTCCACAATCCTTTTCTTCTTTAAATCGAACAACACAATTTATTTCTCTTCAGAGGCACCATTTGCTAGACTTCTGGTCAGATTCATATTTAGACCAAATTTCTGGTTTTCTAGTTTATAGTTTTCTGTTTTTCTGTACTAGCTCTGCTTTTCTCTCTTGTACTCGAAACTGTGGCACTCGCATGCTTTACTAGGTTTCAGCCTCATGCATAAAGCTGTCTGGATGCCTGGTTGATTAATCTTTTAAGCACCTCACATTAATGCTTATTCTTTGTAGTAAACTGCTAAATTACAGAAGGAGAAAAAAAAGTGAAAAAAAGCAGTGAAAATGTAGTTATCTAATGAAATGTAGTTATCTAATGACCGATAGTTGACTCGTGAATGACAGAGTAAACCCTTGGTTGACTTGAATGCTGCTACTCCAAATTCTTGCATTTGTGTCATCAGGCTAGCAGGTTTAAGTTCACGCTGAACCATAGTAATTGCCATTATTCTGACAAACCCACTCACAAGCCAGTATGGTGTATTGCAAAAAATCATGTGCATCTCCAAAGCCTGATCCAGTATCTTAATGATGAACAAAGACTTAAAATCACTTCTGCCACAATGCAACATTGCTCTTGGTATTTTTCATTTTTGAAATTTGTTTCTAATAATTGTCAGTTATGGTCCTGCAAGTATAACAACCCCAGCCTTCAAACAGAAGTCTGCTTGCCCAGATATTGCATTTTCTCCATTTGTACACCTTGGGCTTAAAAATATAAGAGCAATGTTTGATGAGGAAGGCCCTACTTTAAGAGTATACTATCCTCTTAAAGAAAATCTGTATGTCTAAAATAAATAAATAAATAAATAGACAACAAAAACAGTAATCAGGATAGAAGTATAGAAGTCTCTGTATGTCTCTATCTGTCTTTCAAGAATACAGTTTAAAATGAAGCCCAATATATATATAATATGAAATTCAAACAACTGACAAATATATATGCAAAATATACATAAAACATCCTGGTTTTCCACTACAATAATATAATTGTGTGAAAGTTATACTAGCTAGTAGACAGACCAAGTAACAGGAGACAACACTGTAGTCTGATCCTGTAGTTTTCACTGTGGAAGAAAGGCATCCCTCTACTAGTCATATATGCTCCAAGCAAATTAAGATGTTTTTTGATGCCTGTACAAAAAACAACCAAGTAGTTGGAGTGGGGAAAGGAAGGTTGATTAAGACGATGTGAATGTGCTTATTAAGTATGAATCACTTCTGCCTGAACTTTGTCAAACAAGTTGTAAATGTGAACAAAGTAACATGAAACCTGATTAAATGGAGTCCTGAAAATTTGTTCAACTTTGACCACTTACAGGAACTTGGCCAGATCTATGAGTATTCTACATTCCCGGGAGCCAGATGCTAAACAGCAACAAAACCAATATGAATCTCATGGCATGTGGTAAAATACAGTAAAAAAATACAGACTGATACCATGAAAGGAACTTATATGTAGCCAAAAATAGACTGGAATATTGTGTCTGTTTTTCAAGGTATTCAAAACACAAAGCAGGATGTAAAATGTAAAAAACAAACAAACAAACAAACAACACATTTAAATGAGAATTTATTATACAAAAATTCATTAGATAAATTTCAGGATTCAGGATTTTCATAAACTAACGCGACATCATCAAAAGTGCTAAGAAAAAAAAACTTCATTTTAAAAATGAATATATTATTCCTGACTTAATACCATCTTCCTTGCGGCAATATGGAAAAGAAGAAAATACATTGCTCAGAAATAAAAAAGATAATGTCCCGACCATTTCCTTCTGCTTTGTTATTTTTTTTTTCTTTAAATGAACATGTTTCCTGAAATGTTTTTCCTTGGGTCTGGGAGGGAGAAATAAATAGTAGTTTTGTCAAAATGTTTTCTTTTAATAAACAGTTTGCCCAATTTCATTATTCACTTTCTCATCTCTTGAAACCGAAACCGCTAAGGAATTTATATTAACATATAGCTTCTCCCCTATAGATAAACATGGGTAAGCATACAACTCACAGCAACCCTCACGCCAGGTGCTGACTGCAGTAAGAAGGGGTTGGTTTCTACAGGTTCCCACTAAAAACAGACATCAGCTCTAATTCCCTCTTGGAAATTTCCCAAACTAGATTACCCGACCTGGGTTCTCAAACCGTCCCTGGCCATCACCCCTGGTACTAGCTAATGATTCCATGCTGTTCTATCAGGTCCTCTTTTAAAACTGCTCTTTTTAGAGAAACCTGTGGCCTGTTTTGCAGCAGCAAAGGAGGAGTGCTGGAGAAGGCCTTGCCTTTGCGTCGGACCTGTGCAAGATTTCTTCATGCCAGTAGTGGTATCTACAGCTGTCCAGGGTGCCTTGTGACTTCATATGTAATCTTCTCCTCCCTACATCAGCAAGCAAAAATGTTATTTCAGACCTCCTACTCCCTTTTAATGCTTTGGCTTTTCTGAATAAAAAAGAACACAAAATGTGCTCACTGACATGCAAATAAGGTCAGACTCCTAGTTGGTTCCCCTCATTCTTCAGTGACTGAAAATAGACTGCCCCTTTCTGAAGACAGTATCCAGCATCCTCAGAAAGCCTTGGGCTGCTTTTGGTGGGTTCACAAGCCGGTGTTATTGCTGAAATTATTGCTTTAGCTCACAAAATGTACATAAGTACATTTAGTCAAGTATTCATGAGGTCTAACAAACCAGTACGCTACCTGAAACACATGAGCAGAAGTCCAAGCTGTATGTACAGGCAATAATTAGTTCAGACCAGCAGATCATTCAGAGAACCTTAATTAAAAGCTAGTTGCCCTCTGGAGGTATTTTTTCTTCTCCCTGGGTTACACAGAATACCAGAGCTCATCAGCTATCTAAGCACCTTCCAACCTTGAAGGACCTACCAGACTATTGTTAAAGATTAGTTAGAATTCAAATGTCAAAATTTACTTTACAACTTCAAAATATTTATCTAAACTGATTCTGAATAAAAAAAAGAGAGAGAGAGAGAGAGAGAAAATATAATGATTTTCAGAACACATTTTTCAAAAACCAGTTTCCTTAAAATAAATAATTGAAACAGTAGATGTTAGGTAACTGGATAATAAGTATGAAAGAACACCTAAGAATGCCGCTTTAAAATAATTTTAAAAACCCACTAGGAATAAGAATATGCAAATAAACTTACAGTTCTGAAGAAATGGCCAATAAAGCAAATGAATGATTTAAGGCCCAACACAAATAGAGGTGTTCTGGTTCTTTAGAAAATGAAAAAAAAAAAGTAAGGAGGATTCCTGTATATTTAATCATGCAAATAGTTAGGGTGTATAAAGGCAGTAGGGCAGTTATGGTGTGC